ACTAGGATGGCCCAAGTAGTGTTGAGAAACGCTAATGCAATTGATAAATAACTGCTCTGAAAAAAGTGCGTCTATAATTTGCATCACCCTGAAAAATGGTTTTTTGTAATTTTCAAAAATAGTACTTCGAATTTTAAAGTTTTGTCACCAACAATGTATTTCGAAACTTAAATAAAGTATCATATCAAATCAGTGAGCTTCAAATCGAAATAAGTTTTGAGAAATGTCAAAAATTCACGTGCGTCTATAGTTTACATCAGGACTGTACCAGTAGTTGTGTACTACGTAACTTAGTACAATCTACCGTACAGTATGGTGACTTAGGAAGAGCTCAAGCTAACGTGAAAGGCGCAAGAGCCAGTGATCGTTAGCTTCTCCAACTTAGCTTACACCACGCAAACAAACAAGGGGATTGGAAGGGGGCAACTATACGTATAACGTTAGGTTGAATCTACTGGATGGACGTAGTAGATTGAGATTTGAAAGAGCGTTTTGATGAGCTGTGGAATCGCATGTCGCGGCTGGCCACTTGCAGTTGTCAAATTTTGAAATATTCGTCGAAGTACCAAGTCCACATGAAAATTTCTTCATCAACAAAGTTACTACGTAGTAGTAACTACTTAGAACTTGGATACACTGACAGATCGACGGAATGTCAAATAAGGTTAACAACGTCCACCCGACAATGCTTGGTAACTTTGTGATCATTCCAGTGACCAACATGAAGGCACGTTGAGAGGGCCGTGGAATATCCATCAAGAAACTCCTTGTCGTGGTTTGTATTGACGGTGCATATAGCCATTGGGATAGATGACATGTCTTCAATCTTGTACTATAGTTACTGGTACTGTAACTTAGGGATTTTGCTATGATTTAATTGGCTAATCCTGCCAATGAGAATTCTCATTGGGAAATCTAGTGGCATCCTAGCGGGTTAACAATCAGTTTGTATGGCCATAGTAGTACTACACAATTCCACAAACTATTACAGTAATACGGCTACATAACCTACAGCCAACCTTGCCGAAGGGTCCAAACTACCAACAGTATGGAGTATGGATTGTACTGTACTGTTGTGCTTCATGTACGTCGGTCGTGCTGAATATCGCCTCTCCTAATCCTCCGATTTCAATTCACCAATGACAATCATTTACCGTATTTGCCTACTCGTCCATACATTCCCCATTCGCCGATCGAAAACAATTGATTTAAATTCATGTCGTAAACGGCATCAACACGTCTGCGATTGGTTCCTTGGATTTCTCTCGACCAATGAGATCCCGCCATGCGACCGAACCCACTTGGGCCGAAATTTTCATTTTTTCGGACTATACGCTCTGACGGTGATTGCATTCTTTGATTCCACAGACAATACATACAGGCAGGATGCTCGTCGTCTCAGGACCAGTGCAGCTATCTACGAGTTCGAACACACTCCAGCACGCACCTGCGATCATGCGTGAGAAGCGCCGGCTCCCCGACGCCAACACAGCGGCTTCTCCCCCGCCTATCAAGCGCACGCGGTCCTTTACAGACTACGAATACGAAGAAATGCTAGCGACCGTCTTGACCATGACTGAGGACTTGTACTTGCTGCTCGATGTGGTGGCCGACATATGCCACGACCAGCGATGCCGACGATGCACCACCATCGACGTCATCACCCTCCAGAGGAAGCTCGTTGCCATTGAGAACGCAGTCATGGACGTGGACGATGCCAAGGCCGCTGCATACAGCCTCCGCGCAGTCCAAGCCATGTGTGTAGACATGTTTGCAGTTCTCAAGTTCATCATGGGAGGCGCGCATTACGCAGACATCGTGGCACTCAACCTCGGCCATCTCGTGCTAGGCAGCCGCAACCAATTCGCCCAGTTCATGATGCAATACTCACTGAATTAAAGTTCTTATCTATCCGACAGCTCCGTGTACCGTAGGCAGTATGCCGTAGCAGTTTTAACCATAAAAGTTTGCCACTCATTTCTTGTGGCGAAGGTTCGAACTCTCCCGACGGCGGGCCAGCTTCAACGACAACTCGCTCTGCAGCACCGCCGACTTGGCTGGTACCTGCGGCTGCTTCCCCACTCCCCCTTGGTGTCTCTTGCGGAATTTGGCCACAATTTCCCTCGCATCCCCTTCCAGCGACTCGGAGAACTGGTTGAACAAGTCTCCATCTTCCGGCTCGGCCGACCGTCGATGTTGCTGCTTGATCGCATCCGCTTTCAACGCATCTTTGCGCCGCTGGTCGTTGTCGGCCACCGCTTGCTTGTACGCCTTGCAAAAGTCGGCCCATAGGCCAAAAAACCACTGCGCCATGTCCTATGCAAAAGAATAGATATAGATACATGTGTGTATCGGTAGAATCATGATTTTTGCTATTTATCCAGCGATGTATATATATATATATTTACCCCGTCCGACGATGGCTTCTCCACTCCAAACGACCGAATCGCTCGTTGAAATTGCCCGTCTAGCCGACCTAGCGATTGTTTGAGCGCGGCGCAGTCCCCTTGGGCGGTTGTGACAAACGGCTGCAGTTTCGCTCGAAACGGGTCGCGTTGGAGCGTCAACTACAAAGGCATTGTCACCCCCCCCATCCATGAAAAAATGATATATTTTCCAGACTTCAACCCTAAAATGATATACTATGTTGAACCCACACCTCCTGTTGCACGACTGTCACGGCGGCTTCAATGCCGCGCAGGTCAGTTTGCAGTTGCGTCAACGATATCGCCGCCGCCGCCTCCATCGACGGCAGCGCGTCGTAGAACCCGTTGGCATGGGGCGCCTTGGCCGCCACAAGGTCCGCGATCACATGCAGAAGCGACTTGGACGTCGACGATGTGGACTTGACCTATCGTCATGTCTTTAGCATCAATGATGAACATCATCAAGATAACATTGGGGATACCTGCGCCAGTTTTGGCAGGATGTCCAGCTTGAAGCCCCACACGCCCCCCCGAGGGGTACCTCCGTTGAGGTAGTTGCCCACCGCCAGCACCACCTCCAGCACCGCCACCGTGTGATGCGACGTGGTGAGCTCCCCCACTGCCTTCTCCAGGACCTTGACCTTGGCTCGAAAGTCATCTTCGCGAGACAGGTGGATGTGCGTCGTGTGGACAGCGCGGAGTCGCTGCGCTAGTCGCGGGATGTCGAGGACAGCGAGGAAGAACTTTTCCGTTTCCCCCAACAGCGTCGCGTCGCCTTCGTAGCTCTAGCGTATTGCCATCTTAGCATTGGCATTTGTACGGCACAGGACACGAATCATCATCATTCATGGACTTGTGTGTTTATTTGTGTCATAGGGGATGAAGGGGGGAAGTACCTTAACCAGCTCGACTTCTTCCGGCGTAGGCACCAAGGATTCGAGAATTTGAACCCTACGGATGAGTTGGTATTGTATTGTTGAAGAGGCCTGATGACCAACCGTTCCAACGTGAGCACGGCTTCGTCCAAAGTCAAAATCGCCTGCTTCAACTCGCTCGGGGTCATTCTAAAGCGGGAGAGCGCAATGGAGCAGTTCTGCTGCCGTTTGGGGTCTACCAAGTGCACGAGTTTGGGCTTGTTCACCACAGCAGCAACTGGCATCGCCGAGTCGGTTCGTTGACTCGTTCCGTCTTGGCTGAAGTCCTTGTCCAGCGCGCCAGTCAAGTCCAACCCTAGCTTGTTTTCGTCCATTTTGGCCCAGATCGACCCTTCCACCGCCGTGTCTGGCAGTGCATTCCAGTATAACCTTTGCCAATAATATGAAATATGAGTCCAAACCATTCTAACAAGTGAAACGTACCCGCGGAGCTTAGTCGTGGGGACTGTTGCTTTCTTGGGGGGTAGCTTCGACGCTACCGGCGCGGGAGGTGTAGAGGCCACGGGCGCTTTGGCAGTGGACTTGCCACCGATCGCAGCGACACTTAAGGGAGCGGACAGAGGGATGGCTGGAGTACTGGCGGTATTGACCACTGGGGAGTTGTCCAAGAAGGAAGGGTCCAACCCTTCGGCTTGTGCTTTGAGCTTAACTTGGTCTTTCGGCATGCCCATTTTCAACAACTTGACCAACTTGTCGTATTTGGGGTCGAGGGTAGGTGACATGGCACTTCCGCAAGCAGGCATCGTTGGAAGAGTCAATTTCGACGGGTCCACTCCCTCTGCTTTTGCCTTGAGCTGTACTTGTTCGAGTGGCATGCCCATTTTCAGCAGTTTTGTAAACTTTTGGTACTTGGGGTCGTCCATCGCAACGACGTCTGGGGCTGATGCGACACTGCTTCCCCCCACTGCGTTGATGTCCAAATCGGCAATGTCCATTCCTTCCACCTGCATTTTCATCGCCACTTGGTCGCGCGGCATTCCCATCTTGAGCAGCTTGGCATATTTCTCCAGTCGAGGGTTCCTTGAAGTCTCTGAAGGCTTGTCTATAACTACACAATGACAACACAGTATTAGTCATCGTATCTTCGAATAAATAAATATATAAATTCTACTTTTTTTGTTTTTTTTTATAGCTAACTATACACTCCAGCACATTACGCACCAGCTTTGACTGCCCCTCCACCAGACACTGCGTCGTGCTGCAGCGTTGCGACTTGCGTTTCCAAGGCCAATATTTTAGATAGCGCCGCTTGCAGTTCTAGAGCCATGACGTGGCTGTCGTCTAGCTTGGCCAGCTTGGCCTCTTGCTCCGCGCTCTAAAGCCATTGTTGTAAAATCTTCCAAATCAAGTAGATACATGTATGGCTTGTACCATCGGTTGGGCTTGCAGTATTGCCAACTTGCCCGTCAGTTGGGCGACTTGCGCCTCCAAACGCAGGTTCTGGGCCTTGGTGTGCGCCGAGTCCTCGGCTTGTTGGAGTGCCGACTTGACTGCGGCAAACGTCACTCGCTTCGTGGAGAGTTCTCTACGTCGTCATCATAGTCATCACCCATCGTCAATACATGTATTACAAGCATACAAATACATGGAATATCACTGTCGTACTTGTACGTCGGACATGACGTGATTTGAATCAGCGCTTCTTCGGCCATTTCCCACATCTTTTCGCCAATGGAAATTTCTCCCGGAATCACAAGCAACGCCAGCAACGCGTGCAGCAACCGGTCGGACCACCCATGCCCATGGGCGCGTTGCTTGAGTTTGTCCACCACGGCGTCAACGTTCGCCAAGTCCACATCGTGCACGATTGTGTCCTGCATGTCGGAATGCATGAGCCCTTCAAACACTTCCACTTGCTTGGAAAACGACTTGGCCGCGGCCTTCTCGGCATCCCCCTGCCCCCACGCCCCGTACGTCGTCGCAGAATGTTCCAGCTCGAGGGCATCGTATTGCTCTTCAATCGCATGACACAACACAAGCATGTCCATCGCCAAAAAGTCATTGCGCACGTCCACGCGGTCGTCCAGCGCCGCGCACGTACTCACGAGGGTGTTGATGAACGTCAGGCACGCAGCTTGCAGTTCCAAGCTGTCGCCGACTTTGAGGCACTCCACCACACTCCAGTACCGACAGCGTTCGTGGTTGGCCCGGCGATACTTTTCCATGGCTTGGAGTACGGCACTGTGACCTGTTTCAGAGAACCAACACATGAGCGACAGCATCTCGAGGGTCATGATGGTGATCGCCCGGCGGTCTTCTGGCGCTTCGAAGTCGAGACACAGTACCAGCACTTCGATCGCGTCCGGTTCTTGCAGCAGCAGCTGCATGCCATGGCTACCAGTAGACAAGTACCGGGTACGTTGGTGAAGAAGACAAGTAGAGAGATCGATGTATGAGGGATTTCTTGTTTGTACTGGTTGTTCATGAGGCATTTGAAACAGCGCATGGCTTCGTGCAGCAGGGGTGTGTGGTTCTCCGACGCCACCGCAGCCATCCATTCCGTCAACGCGAGCACGCCGTCTTCTTTATGAAACGCCGTGAGCCACTAGTTGTCCAAGCGACGGGACGATCAGATGACCAGCCAAATTGACACATGCGATGCAGTACCTCCTTGTCGCAACCGCGCATGAGAACATGCAGCTGCCGCGCGTCTTCATGGGTCAGCGTAGTGGCGTCTTCACTCACGGCATCTTGCAGTTTGTGGACCCAGAACAGCGGCTGGGTGTGCTCGCTGCTGCGACCTTTCGAGTTTTGCTTGGCAGTCCAGTCTTGAATGATCTGCCACTTTTGACTCAACGGCAGCGTGCGCATGCGATCGGTGGCCGCTTTCGGCAACGCCATGTTGTCCACCGCTTCACTGAACAACCGTTCGATCTCGCCTTCGTTGGCTGGCATCGTCGACGTCGCGGGTTCTACAAGCAACATCCATAAGTCGATGGATATATCAGACTACTGTACCAACCGGTAGGAGCGGCATTGTTGCTTTTAGCCTTTCGACTCTTGAGACCAAACGCACGCGACAACTTGTGCGAAATGCTCTTTGGTTTCTTTTTCATGTCATATTTCCCCACACCATCAGTCGTCGGCGTTGGTGCCATCGCGACGAGCCACGGGAAATGTAACCGATTCAGCCCTGCGCCACCGGTTACATCGTCAAGGCCACCGGTTACACCAACATATCCGGAAAGTGTCAGTTACATAACTCATGGTGCCGCCATGAACACCTCGTGAACGTCCTATCGATATATCATAGGGAGCTCTAGTGCAATTGCATTATTATGGTCGTATGCAGGTACATGTGTATCTTTGCGCATTTGTTGTGTGTATGGTTGCATGATGAGATATATATTCACGTGAAAATCTCCGCCACGGAACCGTTGCGATCTTTCGACAGTTACACTACATGCGTACTATATCGTGGCTTGCTGGCAACTCCTTATTTTGGACAAGTCCATCAAGTTTGTGTCTGCAGCATGAATCCGTTCCGTCGGTGGTCAGGCAAACCATCCAAGAACAACTCGCCCAGTAAACCTCGCAAGGACAGCTTCAGTTTGGAGTCGCCACCGTCGTTGAGGCACGAGATCCTCGAGCGAGAGCCGTCGATGGTGGCCACACCTGCCCTCACACGCCCGTCGGAGCCGTCCCAGATCGACGCCTTGTTTCGCGACATGATGGACAAGATGCCCTTGTCGAACGCAGCTGCCGATCGCATGTGGGCATTGCCCATCAACCAAAAGTGGCAACTCGTCCAGGAATGGTCGAAAAAGCACGAGCACGAGCGACAGCACGACAGCGCCGACCGCCAGCCGATATTTTGGGTGCACAAACTGCAGGAAGTGCTTATGGAAACCACGTCGCCCCTGACAGAAGACCAAGCGAGGGGGCTGCACGTCCTCATGCGCGGCGCGTCGAAAGAGGTACCCCTACATCCTTGATTCTGCCCAGACGATGATGGTATGCACGCTCACTTCTTCGTGATGGCAACTAGTGGCTGCACAAGTTTCATCGCGCTGGAGGCGTCACGAGTTTGTGCGAGTACATGGCTGCGTTGGCTTATCGGGCGACTGAGATGGCGGACTCAGCGTTCGCTTACGACAATGCGATTCTTCTCGAATGTCTTCGTTGCTACAAAACTCTCATGTCCAATCCGTGCGTGTCATCGTTGTTGTGTCTATTTATTTATCTGTTACATCTATGACACTAGATTTGGCTTGGAATTGCTCCTCGACTCGACCGACCACCACGTCGACACACTGGCACAATGTTTGGACTTTTCACACTTTTCCCAGCAACTGGTCACCACGACGGTGCTGGAAATGCTGTCTGTCTTCTGCTGGCGCTCGGAACGCGGACAACTGGCCGTACTGCAGGCCATGGGGTCGTACCAACGTACCCACAAAGAGCGCGCGCGGTTCGCGAGCCTGGTGCACTGCCTCAAAGCCTCCGACAGCTCGGACCTCCACGCGGCATGCTTGACGTTCATTAACACGATCGTCAGCGCCAGCCCCCGGCTAGAGGACCGGGTGCACGTTCGCAACGACTTTTTGGCACTTGATTTGCTCGTTGTGTGTCACGCCATCCAGGCGAAAATGGAGGCCCCGCCCAGCCCCCCCCGGTTGGGGGGACTGGTAGATCCGTCCTTCGACCAGAAGCCAAAGCCACCCCCGTCCAAGGCGGCGTTTGTAAAGCAGCTGCGTGTATTTGAAGGGTTTATGGTGTCCGACATGGAAGATGCCGCGACCAACGACGTCGACTTGACCAATTTGGAGGCTGTCTTCACCCAGCTCAAGGCGTCCGCCAGTCGGTACGGGTTTACCGACCGCCTCTTAAATGTCCTGCTGGCCATGATGGGCATCCCGGGCGAAGCTACCATGGGCACAAAGATGTGGGAGCTCGCAGAAGAGTCGTTGCTGCAGATCACGTCGTTGCATTCATACAAGTAATCGACTCAACCCTACCAACTTCACGCCTAATTACTGGCTCACTGTGACCTTTAGTGACCTCACCAACGCCCCACGCCAGCTGTCCTTTGAATGGGTGCGCGAACTGCAAGACAGCGTCGAAGTGTTTCAGACCAAAGTGGACACCATTGCGTCCTTAGAATCGACCATCGCTGCGATGGAAGCGCAGTCAAAAGTACGGCGGCCGAATTGCAATAATGAACGATTTGGATTGAAAGTAGACATTTGGCTTTTGTAGAGATGTCATGCCACGGTGAAGGCAAGGGACCAGGAGATCGTCAACCTCAAGACGACGTTGGAGTACGTTTACGCGGAGCAGCTCAAACACCAAGTACGTGTGTCGTCGTGTTGTGCTTGAAACAAGAATATATTAAATTTAATAATATTGTTTGCGGTACAGTCGATTGTGTCCGAGTCGACCCAGACGTGTAGCCCTGCCGTGTCTTCGTCGGCGAATCAAACCGATGAAGTGCATGGTCGTTCGTTCGCGGAAACTCAAACCGATGACGTGGCACCACCTACGACAAGGGATTTTCAGTACGAAACGTTTTTTCAAGCGATGCGTGCTGGCACGATGTCGCAGGATCAAGTGGAGGTGGCCATGCGGGCTCAAGGGCTGGACCCAGCGGTCCTCTTTTACGGCTCACAAGCCCTTGTACGTACAGTTGAGTTGCTCTTTTTTCAATACTAACATGGCGTCATGGTAGCCACCGAGATTACCCCCACCCCTGGTCACAGTTGTGGAAGAAATTCCGGAAAAGTACTTGAAATTGATCAAAATGGGCATGCCAAAGGAGCAAGTGGCGTTGAAAATGAAAGCCGACGGAGTGGACCCGTCGCTGCTGGACACGCACGAACGCTCGACATCCCAGCCCCGTGTCATCGAGCCCACAATCGAATCACCCGTTGGTCCTAAAGCACCGGCTCCCACCAATATGACGGAAACGTATGTCAAGCTGCTGAAAATAGGAATACCCTATGAACAAGTGGCGTTGAAGATGTGTGCAGAAGGGCTTGACCCTGGTCTCCTCCCCAAACTCACGGCATCTCCACCATCGTTGGAACCACCACCCGTACCTCCTGCCGCCACAGTGATCAGTCACTCAGGCGTTGAAAAGTATGTGAAGTTGATTAAGATGGGGATGCCCAAGGAACATGTGAAGATAAAAATGAAGGCCGACGGCGTCGATCCTGCAGCGTTGGACGCAGCCCACTCATCCAGTCCTCCACCTCCGACGACGACGACAACATTGGTTCAACACGTGGCAGCTCCGGAGGTGTCGGTTGATCCTAAACACGAAAAGTACATCAAATTACTCAAGATGGGCATGCCAAAGGAGCAAGTGGCGTTGAAAATGAAGGCCGAAGGGTTGGATGTGTCAGTGCTGGACACACCAAGTGTGGGTGTCGCCTCAGAGGGGCCGTCGATTGCTCCAAGCGCAGAGCTACTATCACCCCCACCGCTGGACCCCAAGTACACCAAGTATGTCAAGCTGCTGCAAATGGGGATGCCACTAGAACAAATCGAAGTCAAAGTCAAAGCCGAAGGTCTGGACCCGTCGAAGCTCACATTATTAGCTCACAGGACATCGCCATCACCACCACCACCAATAACATCGTCGCAGGACGATGTTTCCTGCGAGTCCTCCAAGCTGCCGCCTTCCCTCCCCCCTCCGGTTGCCGTGACAGTGACCCCGCCCCCATTGCCCCCTACCTTCAAACTTCCCCCCAAGCCCTCCACTGTGCCCACTGTAAAACTACGCAGGTACGCCCATGCACTAGTTGGTGATTTCACGTTGTGAACCGATCCTTAGTTTGTACTGGACACCCCTTCCCGACGCGGCGGTCGAAGGCTCAATTTGGCTCAACTTGGACGAGACCAAGCTCGGGTTGGACTTGGGTATCCTGGACAAGGAGTTTGGACCGGACAAGAAGACTGACCCGTTGATGTTGTCGTCGTCGCCCACCAAGACTGGGAAAGCGATTTCTACGACTGCCAAGCCCAAGGTCGTGCACTTGGTGGACTCGAAGCGCCAGCAGAACTGCTCCATTGCGCTCTCTCGCTTTCGAATGGCGCCCAAAGACATTAAAGCGGCGATCGTCGCGTTGGACGACAACGTGTTGACGTTAGAACGGTGCGTCGTGGGATAATCACGTACGTTTTCAGCACGTCGTCGCATGATTTGTGGTGGTGTTTCAGGATTCAAAGCTTGGCGGCGATGGTGCCCACGGCCGACGAAGTGGACCTGGTCAAAGTACGTGGCATACGGCTAGAACGACCACAGTAACTCCAATGTATCACTGTAGGGATACGAAGGGGACGTGGCGTTGCTCGGGGAAACTGAAAAGTTCTTCTTGGCGATTTCCGACCTTCCGCGCTTGGCGCAGCGACTCAAGGCGATGGAGTCGACGTGGACGTTTGGCCAGCGCTTCGACGAGGTCAAGGGCAAACTGAAACTGCTGGACCAGGCGTATGGGGATTTGAAACGGTCGACCAAGTTGCTGTCGCTGCTCCAAGTGGTGCTGGCGGTGGGCAACTACCTCAATGGCGGCACCCCCCGGGGAGGTGTCTACGGCTTTAAGCTGGACATTCTGCCCAAACTGTCCCAAGTACTAGATAGAGCCATTTGGTCATTCGATTCAGTTGGAAGGTGTAGGTGAAAGCCACAAGCAGCGCCAACAAAACGTTGTTGCATGTGATCGCAGAGTACGTTGCGACCAGCGTACCCGACGCCAGCGACTTTTACGAATCGCTTAACAGTTTGGACGAAGTTTCCGCCATCTCGTTCACGTTGCTCCAGAACGATGTGCATATGATCGAGGCCTCGCTCGTTCAAATCGACCAAGAGGTAGCTCAATATTATACATATTTATGTCTAGGTATTATTGATGTATGTAAGTAAGTAAATGTGCTAGAAACCACATCAAGACGATGTGTTTCGTGCGAAAATGGGATTGTTCTTGGCCGCCGCGCAGTCGGATTGCCAGTCGTTGCAGGCCAATATGGCGTCATTCCAGAGCAAGTTTCACACACTCACGCTGTCGTTTGGCGTCGACTCGACCAAGCCGACGTCGGACGGGGTAACGAAGTTGACATTATTGCAGCTGTGATAACGTTTCATGCGATATGGGACGTACAGGACGCTGTGCAAGGGTTTTTTGGCACGTGGTCAGACTTTTGCAAAACGTACAAACGAGTGGCCACCGAGAACGCTGCCGCCAAAGACAAGCTGTCGAAGCAGGAAGCGGCCAAAGCGAAACAAGACGAGTCCAAGCGCGATCTGTTCCAGCAGTTTACAGATTCGCTGGAGGGTGACGCGAACGACATCGTGGCCAACTACCGGTCGAGACACCACAAAGGCGGCGAAGGGGGAGTCGTTGGCGGGCTCCTGCGCAAGGATATCTCCCGGCGGAGGTTGAGTTCGACCGCCGGGCCTGCCTCGTAGAAAAATCGAGTTGTCCCATCCGGATAAACTATATAATGCACAAGGTCGTGTGAGTTCAGAGTGCAAATAACGTTATGGACGAGGAACGAGGAGGAGCTACAACTCCGTTACTGCCGTCGACGGCAATGTGGCTCAGCGTGGGCATGTGCGCGTTGGTAGGATTGCTCACAGCGATCTACTATGCGTCATGTCGTAACGTCCGCCTTGCATCTCCACCCGCCAGCGTTCATGTCTCCACGAAAGCTGCTGTTGCTACGATGGACGCGACCACAAAATTTGAACTGTTTGTGTCGACTAGGGTGGCCCAGGCTCCCGTGGTGCTCTTTACGACTGGCGACGTCACTCCTGTGCTGGAGCTGTGCCGGCTCAACCATGTGTCCGTGCATCATGTCAACCTCGACCGGGTGGCCGGAAATCTCGCCATCTCGCAGGTGCTGCAACGTCGGTGCAATCTGACGTCGCCGTTCCAAGAGCTGTTGTTTGTGAATGCCACGTTCGTTGGCGACACGGCCACTGTCGTGTCCATGGCCTCGACCGCCTTGGCTGCCCTGCTCTCCATCGACCCGAGTACGTTTGTGGTCGGTGGTACTGCCGACGACGTGGTCTTGACCATCGATCCATCGCTGCTGCAACGAGGACATGCCACGTCATTCAACGATACGCTTCCTAACGACCCACAGTCATTGCTGGCCTGGCACTTGGATCCTGCCGAGGCCACCAGGTCGGTGCCACTGGCCCATCGGCCTCGAGCGTCGAACCGCCAGCGAAGCCACCTGACCGCATTCTCGGAACAAAATCAAAACTTTGACACAAGTACTCAATTGAGTTTGGTCCCGTGGGAGATCCTCGACGCGATCGTGTTCACGTCCGAGGGGTTTCTGACTCTGCCCCCTCAAGGCTTTGTGGATGGAGCACATCGCAACGGTGTGCGGGTGTTGGGGTCACTGACGTGGCACGCTGATAGCGCAGCACAAATCAACCAGCCCAACGACTTTTGCGACTGGCAGGTACTGTACGCTATTGCAGTACTCTTCTTTGATGTCTCGTAGCAAGAATTACTTGGCAGTTCACACGTTCTGACACTCTACTTTCTCTCAGAGTTTAGCCCACAGGTTACAGACCGTTCAATCTTTTACGGGCGTGGATGGATGGCACCTGGTCGGGCTCTCACACCAAGTCGCGGCAACGCTGCTACCCCTTCTAAGTTCCTCGTCTTATGTTTTATGGGCGTCGGAGATCGTCTCGTCCTCTGTGACGACGTTGCTGCCGCTGACCCACGGTGTGCTTCTGCCAGCACCCGTCGACAAGTCGACTGTGGTCAAGCTGGCCAAAGCTGCCGGCGACCGCAGGTGGCAGCTTACTTTTACCCTGGACTCAATGCACGCCGAGGTATCCGCGAGGACCCTTCGCTTCGCAGACGTCTCTGTCTGCGTGCCTCTGACTGTACGTCCCAATGTCACATACCATCATGAACTCGAGACCAACAGTATTTTGGCTTCAATCTTGTGGCCATATTGCCGTTACTTTTGACGACTAGACGATTGAATGTCGTGTTCGATGAATATATATATATACCTTAGACCGTCACCAACGATCCGTTTTGGAAAACCAACTGGCGGTCAGTGGCCCCCGTGCACAGTGTCTACGGAGGGGCAGAGGCTTTGTATACTGCGTTCAATGTAGGCCACGGGGCGACCACTAGCGTGGACGGGCGCGTCGTGTCGTCGTCGCCATGGCACGACCAAGGTCAGGTGGATGTGCTGCCTCTGTTGAACAAAGCCAAGTCGCCCATGCACATGAACTTGTCGCTGGCCAAAGCATTCCAAGGCGGGTCCAGTCTCCACCTTTGTGTACGAAATGTGCACAATAGTGATGACAATGCTGGTCTTGTGTGTTGTTATAAGCGCTTCATTGCACATATGTATGTAGGCCACATTACCTGCAAAAGCTCGGGTCAGTGTCGACTTGTTGCCACTTCAAGTGCACTTTGCCCCTCGAAAGGTCATACGCGTAGCCTATTCGTTCCACACGACCAACGACCCGACGTCATTTGGGCTGGCACTGAACTTGGTGTCGAAAGATGAGATCGTGCTGCGAGGCTGGCCGTCGTCACAGTTGACGTCATCGCCCTTGTCGCAGATTACGTCATCGTCCTTGTCGCCGTTGATTGGCCGAGTCAAACACACGCGCGCGTACGCCCCTGTGTCTGAAACGACCGGTCCCAATGGATGGATTACCCGGGTGTACCAATTGGGCGGTGCACTCTGGGACGGCCACGTCATCAAGGGCGTCTCCGTGTTTGGTGTCAACCTCTCAGACGAAAGGACAGAGGATTGGTCCGTGCATGTGGGGCAGGTGGTCGTGTGCCCTGTTGCAGCAGACATGCCAACCTCGTCACACATGTCCCCGGTGATTACAGCCATCCAAATCGACCCCATCACGGCCTCGTTGACGTGGACTGTTCCGTCCACGGTGCAATACACGCACGTTTTCCAAGAAATGTTGACCTGTCACGATGAACTCGTCTGGGTTGGAAGCACCAACCATTCTCGTTGGCAGTTGCCATCAAAAGCCAAGTCCGACACTACGTTTGTGCTGCAACCTGTGCATTGGACAGGAGCCGTAGGCCGTCCCCAACGAGTGACGATAGTACTTGGCGGCGCGGACGACCCTTCATCCTTCCGACAGACTTGAACAAACCATGGAAAGGTGTTCAACGTGATAAAAGAATCACTAATAATAGTTACTAAACATTTCTCAATCCAATCAATAGATCTATGGAGAATTAGTAGTATGGACTACACTGCACCATTTTGCAGTGAAGTTGGACGAATGCCCGATATATTTGGCCGTGCACCCGATATATTTTGGCCGTGTGCCCAATATAATTAGCCATGTGCCCGTTTAATTTGGCACACTGAGGTTGTGTGCCCAAGTAATTGGCCATCTACCCGATGAATTGTGTCGTGTGCCCGATGAAATTGAAATAACTCAAATAATTATATTTCAGATGGAGTGCAAATTAGTTTAGGTGGAAACATCATGTGGTTGAAGTTGGGAGAAAGGCAAGAATAACGTTAAATCGCAATTTATACTTGAATAAAAAGTATAGTTTAAGTTCATAATGCGCACACTGCTTTCCTCCAACAAATTGAATGCTCATGATTCAAATCGCCAAGGAACGCACAGCATGGACGTAGCTAACTCTGATGTCGATTGAAGTATTTCCCATATATTCCAGCGTTTCTCCATACTTTCAACTCTCCAAAACTTGAATCTGTCGCGCGCAGAGCTCATTTTTCGCTTTACCTCAAGGTACACACCCTCGATGGACGCGCGAAGGCCATGGGCAACATGGGCGTTGGTATGTGACGTCACAGCAACGATGCTTCATGTGTCGTTTAACGACCATTTCTATATGGAATTGACATTTTCATCTGACACACGACACAATTCATCGGGCACATGGCCGATGAATTGTCAATTGCTTGGGAACACAACCAAATATATCGGGCATTCGTCCAACATAACTGCAAAAAGGTGTAGTATCTTGTATGACGGGATTGTTCCGAAAGCACACATCACAATAGACCAGTCACGTCATACTGTAATCAATGAGATTGAGGATGATTGAGCTTTCACAACAGGAATCGAACGTCGTTGGATGATCCCCTCCAAATCCCGTAATGTGTTGTTTGAATACGATACTCTATTTGAAGCTCTGATACGTGGATTTTGTGGTTGTCTAATGTGTTTGACCATTAACGGTTATTTAAATTTTCTTCTAAAGCCATATACTTGCTCTCTGTTATACATTACTGCCACCATTGGAAAATCCACAACTTGTACATTACGGCCACCATTTTTTTCCACTATAATTGGACGATGAGAAAACGGTTCTTAAACCTTACTATTCGATGGCGTTCTATGACTACCCGAGCAAGTGGCGTATACATACACCCCAAGCCGCCCAATTTACCACGAAATAGATACACTCCATTGCACTACTGAATCCACGTTCATTCTGAATCCATATGACGGACAGTAGTAGTACCATGGTAGTAGGCAGCAAATGTATGATAGAACGACCAGTATTGTGCTTTCGAGTGAAATTTCAGAGTGTTGTGGCGTGGTTTCTCGTTGGAATTTTTAATCGATTTGATTGGCTACCTCATATGAGCTCAAATTATTAGCCAATCAAAACCTTCTCAATGAAATTCAACCAATCAGATCGATTGTGGATCGATTTTGTTTGCGCGATTCGATTGCACCCCGTCCCCAAATTTGTATCAAATCGACAATACACTGTTCACACACGACGATGGGGTAGGGGAATTCATTAGATTATTAGGTTCAAGCAAAAAAAATAGTATTTTACGATATTGCGCACTGTTTGTCGGACGGGACGAGGATTTGGCTCTTGGCTTGGGGGTACGGCATCGTCTGAACGTCCGCTGTGACATCCCACTCAGTGCGAAATGCAATCTCTTTGGCCAGCGCCTGTGCAAACTTGACGTGGCCGCTCACAGCATAGTGCCGCATATTAGCGAAATCAGAGTCGTCCAGCCCGCCCTGGATCTACCGATATAACAACGCCAATGACGACGATATTGATTACTCGTTACCTTGATAAACGCGTAATGCATGCGCAGATCCATCTTCTTGACGCGGGACATGGCGACTTTAGTGATTTCCTGCAGCTGCAGCGAGATGCGACTGCGGTTCACGAGGTCGTCTTCGCCGCTCATGCAGTTTTCATCGCACACGACGCAAAAGATGTGGGCGTCCGGACGATCTACTTGCATGTTGGATCAGATACCTCTACTATGTACTACGCAAATATATATATATATATGGAGCCACTACCCATAGCAGTGGAAAATATGCACAAAAAGAAATAGAAATAGACAAATAATTTCAAGCGAAAACCACTTGCAAAGTTACAAAACATGCACAAAACAAGACCACACAAGCAAAGTCCGAACATGACGAGCGAAAATATATACTAGTATGGAAAATCTATCCACAGGAAATATAGAATATATAATGTTTTGCCACTCGTAAAAAATGCACGGAAAAATATATATTGCCGTTCTACCAATCCAAAAAAATACATATATATATATATATATATCAGCAGATCACGCAACATATATTGATAAAGCATGGACCAAACAAGCCCACCCAAAATACACAAAACATGTGCAGCGAAATATGAATGGAAACAATTCATCCAACTAGAAAAAACTAGAAAATCTATATAGTTTTTCTCCACGGGTAAAAAATCCACGAAAACGAGATCCAACAATATTGTGCTTTCGAGTGAAATTTCGTGTCGTGACGTGGTTTCTCGTTGGAATTTAAATCGATTTGATTGGCTACTTCAGATGAGCTCAAAATTATTAGCCAATCAAAACCTTCTCAATGAAATTCAACCAATCAGATCGATTGTGGATCGGTTTGGTCGGCGCGATTCGATTGCACCCTCTCCCCAAATTTCTATCAAATCGACAATATTGTCAATTCGATTATTCAAAATTCGAGTGTTTGGGTGCTCAATCGAATGAGCAGAATAACCCAGTCGGTTATATCGACCAATCAAAAGACAAGACATGAATCAACTAGCCAATCAAATCCACTCTTCAAATAATTCAACAATGTCGAATTATAGTGTGTGATTGGAAGTAGTGTGATACTGGACGACCTTTACATACAAAAGTCAGTACAAAGAATCGATAGATTTGGCAAAGAATCCGCACAAAAGTAGTCCAAATATTGGGTAAAAGAAAGACAATATATATCTATCTATCGATATAATAAATATAAAAAGGTTTCGTCGTACGCTGTCGGACGTCTTCTAACAGCGCCGTGTATGCTTCGACGATTTCCGCTTCAGATGACGCGGGCGGGAACAGATCTTGCGTGCCGAGATTAATCACCACGGCATGGGGCTGCCACGAGTTCAAATCCCACGGGAACTCGCGCGACGCAATCGCATTCTTCCACATGGAGCTCATGTTGGGTCCCCAGTCGCCCAAGTTGCTTTTGACGCCCTTGCTAGATCATATATATATATCCATGAGTTTCTACACAAGTTCTAGAGAAACGTTCCACGTATGGGCGTACGTACCCACTCCAGGCCAAAATGTGCGCCTCGGCGTGAAACATGCGCGCGGCGATGCATGCGTAGCCGTTGTAGACGTTTTCCATGCGGCCCTTCATTCCGAAGATACCCTTGGACGAGGTCGCCACCCCTTCGTTGCCAAACCCACAAGTGTCCGAGTCGCCGATAAACTCGATCCGGTGGCGGAAGCCGGGGTCGCATGGCAGCACGACCGCCGCCTTGTCGACCACGAACCCGTAAAACGTGCACACTTTGAACGTCGAGACGGCGCCGCGCATCTGGGGCTCGGTGCGCTTGCTGATCGTCACCGTGTGTTCTTCGTCACCGATGTCGTCATCGAATGTGACGACGTCGCAGCAGCTGGCCTTCAACGACGCGCGCAAGATGCACTTGAACTCACCGTCCACAAACACGTTGAAGTAGTTGCCTTCGCCCTTGAGCCGAATGCCCACGCCGCGCGTGCGCTTGACGCGGATCGAGAAGCCACAATGGGGCCAGTCGAACTGCACCGAATTGACCTTGGTCTTGCGCGACGCGTACTCGTCGTGTCGGAGGAAACGACCGCTGAGAAACACCCGCGGGTCTACGGCCGTCACGAGCTGGAACGACCCGTCCTTGTACTTGTTGACGTCGAAGTTGTACACTTCCAGCGGCGACACATCGTCAGGCAGCACCCCTTCCGGATCCGAAGTCGACTGACTGCTAGAGTTCAACACGCTTCCTGTCGCCGGCTGTACATGGGCCATGGTTCGTGAGATGATGAGCCTTGGCTTGGCCAGGTATGGGAAATTCCGGATAACGCGACCCCTCCGGCGTTTTCATTGGTGGACACCAGGTGAGAGTAGCCCTTGGAACTATTAACAAAAGTCATTTCACGTCAACTATATCCGGACAAAAATCCCATTCTACAGTAAAAAATACTGTGTATAGTTGGGAGATGATACTATAATTGATAGTATGGCAGATTGTTAGAAAAGTCAGAAGAAATTCCCTGTTAGAAACATCGGACCCCTTGTGTGGGTATTCCCGGGGTAAAGGTGCATCACCAGCGCTTACCCATTGTGAATGAAATGCACTTCAACCCATTAACAGTAAGATGGAATGTTTGTTATTTGGTTTACAGTTACCCTGAATTTGACAACAGTTACCCAGTGGTAACTGTTGTCATGACTGTAGTACAAGGGAAATAAGGGCCTGTTCCAAGTAGATATTTTTAGAAAATGAAACATTGGTTCCAAGTATTAATACCGTTTCCTACCTTTTGACCTCTTTTTCTGCGATTTTTTACGCAACTTACTATGCCAAAAGTACAGTAACGTTATTAAAAGAGGTCCTTGACGTCTTTTTCTAAATCGTGAATAAGGAAGAGGTAAATCGATTTTGATTGGCTCATGCTATTTCTGTAAACTACTTGGAACTTCCCCTAATAATTACAACTGTTGCTAGGGCCGACTATGTCGTGTATAGCGCAAATAGTTGACTTGTTTGTGGAATTCGTAATGTGGCTGGCCTTATTTCAGATTATTAACCAATCAGAGTGCATCATGGTTTCTTTGCCATATTCTACACCTTTTCCCAATCAAGTTGCGCACTTTTTCCAATCAAGTTGAATCGGATATAAAATATAAATTTTCACGAGAGATGTGGAGTGCAAAAGTTCGGATCAACATGAATTTTGTTCCAATCAAAGTGAACCACAGAAGCGCGCTATTTTCGCGCCCAACATGTAAACTGTCAATGCACAATGATCATTTTCCAATCACCCGACTTGTCTTCGCATGAAAACACACAAAGGCCCCACCGCGGAGGAGAAGAAGCGTGTTCTCGACGCCTTCCTCCGCGGCGACAACTGGAAGCTCGTCGCCCAGCACAACGACATGTCCCTCGCCACAGCGAGGCGAGTTGTGACCACCGGCCAAACGACTCTGCTGCCACGAGGTGGCTTTCGACCCGCCAAGTCCAAGGTCACCCCCGAGATCCGTGCCGCTCTCGAGCAGTACCTAGACAAGAACTGTCAATACACTCTTCGTGAAATGCAAACCTTTGTTGTTGCCGACTTCGCAGGCACTGAGCTCTCGGTCCAAACCATCAGCCGCCACATTTTGGGCATGCTGTACACCGTCAAGCAAGTGCGCATCGAACCGGCGACCTGCAACAACGACATCAATAAGCAGAAGCGACGTGAGTTTGCGCTCAAGCTCAAGCAACACCAAGACAACGGGGACTACATTGTCTATTACGACGAGACGAACTACAACGTGTACTGCAAGCGGAGCTTCGGGCGATCCAAGAAAGGAACGAGAGCCACCGTCGTGCTGCCGCCGTCGAAGGGCCCGAACTTGCAAGTCCAGTGCGCCGTCTCAGCGGAGCAAGGCCTTGTCCACTACAAGCTCGAACGCGGCAGCATCCGCATGGAACAAAACGCGCTGTTCGTGGAAGAAGTCTACGAAGCTGTCAAGCGGTCCGACACCTGGCATGACCACTTTGCCGGCAAGCGCGTTGTAATCGTGTTGGACAACGCGACGGCCCATTCGCAAACGGAAAGTCGCGTTGTCCAACACGATGACATGACGCTGCTGCGCCTTGGCCCCTACTCACCGATGCTGAACCCGATCGAAAGCTGCTTCAGCGTCTTGAAGGCTCGCATCAAGAGCTACCTCGCCCTCCACACTTATGCTATGTTCGAGCGTGGTGAGTATGGGACGTTTTTCGAACGACGAATGGTCTTACTTGAGGATGCTGCTTGTGCGCGCGTCGCTGCCATGCTTCACGCAGCCGTTGGTGGTCCGCGAGGTCATCTTCTGTCAGCGCAACGTCGAAAAAGCCATCCTATTGGAGAGCATGGTGTATGGTCAGTAGGCAGTTCATATTGAATGGAAAAAGCTCATATTGGATTGGAAATTTGTGTGTTTTTAACCACCCACCGTTTTAAAAACGACGTTTCAAACGTTTTTTTGCCAACTTGATCGCAACTTGATTGGGAAAAGGTGTAGTAATTGGTCAAGACGATCATTTTTATCGACTTCAAAAACGCAGAAGTACCAAGTTCCCAGCAACTCAAACAACTCGTGCCACCATCAGCTTAATGCTCATGTCAGCAGTTCATCGCACTCTCGAGTACACTCACTAGCGTTTTTCCTTAGTGCTTATTGAAGTCGACATCGAATGACGAATAGTCGATGCGAATTTCTCGTTAGAAAGGATCAGCAGCATCACTACTACTTCATGGTTTCGGTGGACTGGGGCCAACACCCAAGGTCCTTCCAAGTTAAAATGAGGAAGTGATGGGTAAAACTACCGTCAGTAAGAATCATATTATCGGGGCATAGTCACCAAAAGTTTGACCAAATTAAGTCGTTTGCCCGCGACGTTTTGGGGTTTCGGGATCAACGAGTAAATTGCTGTAAACGACCTATTTACAGTACCAGTAGTTGACGAGCTTGGCCCATGTGATTTCTTGGTTTATGCCAAGATGCAAAACTAGTAAGACGACCAAGGTCGGGGGCATGTGCGACGGCACCGAGCCCAGCACTTCCACCAGAGCGCGCCCACTACGCCAAGAACAGCCACTACCTATGCTGCGACAAGACGAGAACCAAGTCGTACTGCATGACCATCGCCCAGGCTCAAGCGTGCGGATAGGAGCAAGGGATCGCATTCTAGTACTGGTAGCTCACAATCCAATAGCTGCTGCCTACAGCTAGCAATAATGTAGCAAGGAGAATAGAATGATCCTATTCGCCAGTTATTTTCACTTTTCTATCATATAATTGGACAGAAATTTGGTATGGCAGCCTGCCTTACGAATTCAATAACCAGAAAAAGCAAGGTGAAATAGGCAATTTTGTATGCTGCGCAAGGTGAACCACCTTGCGAATTCCATAAATAATTCTGAAATTGTATAGTTTCAATTAAATATAGCTTCAAGTTTGTATTGATGATTTTTATTTTTCACGTGCCTGTCTCTTTTTGGAATTCGCAAGGCAGTGTCACCTTGCGAATTCAAAATTGTCCAATTTTGTCCAATCAGATGCGGTGAAATCACGAAATCGCTGCATGATTCATCACGCCCTGTTGCGATATATTCCTGTGATGGCGGTTGATGCAAGGAGCCTTGAGATAATTGTAGGCCATCCAGACCGTGTCGGTGCCGTACACCTCCCTGCCGGTGTGATCGCGTGGTTGCGCGGGCGGTGGCGCAAGACATCTTGGTGGCACCCATCGCAAGTGCTGAAGTGGCGGCTTTAGCACTTTGCGTTTGCGATGGGTTCTACCAAGACCTCTTGCGCCACCGCGTTGGCCACCACGACATTGCGACCCAACCGAGCGCACAACACAATGATAGCTGTAAGGGGAGAATTACATTGGACATAGTCGGAGTGCACTCATCAGTGCACAAGTCTCGTCGTCCACGGCTCCAATTGTTCTCGGAGACGTTCGTTCGACTGGATCGATCTTCCGTCATGCATTTAAAGTGGACCGTTTGTGTTTCAAGCTGTTTGTTGCGAAAATGGTAGAGATGCTCATGAATTGCAGTATACAGCATGAAATCTAACGTTATCAATGATATACTTACTGTATCCCCCGAATAGCCCTGGATTTTGGCTTTATGCAACACATTGCAGAATTATAATCCGATGCAAGGGTTGAGTTATATGCCTGCTATGTCTCGGAACACGTAATCATCTTATATTGAATCTTCACACCCTTTGGTGTGCGCCACACTAACTGCCATGCATTACACTTCTCAATCATTGGGAGTTGCTGCAAGGACATCTTGTGTTGGGATCGCCCTGCAACAGCTTTGCAAACCACTCGGTGAGTATTTCCATGGACGGGGCTGCCTCCATATTCCCGTCATTCTCGTCAGCCCAATTCAACAGATGCGAGTGGATCCGCCGACGGAGTACTTTGGCCAAACTGAGCAGCATTTTGGACGTAGCCGCTTGTTGTAAAATATCTAACACCACCACCCAGGTCAAGAGTTCGATGTTGGGTCGGCCACGTACTGGCGACAAGAAGCTCCATTTGCGCCCGTTGTTGCATCTCTGCGCACCTGGTGATGTGTTCTGCTTCAAAAAGCGGCTACACAAAGTGAGGCGCGTAGGAATATTTCCCGTCAAATGTTGGAAATTTCTAGTCAAGTCGAAATTACCTTGAGCAATCGCACGAGTTGTGCTTTCTTTTTGTACTTTTTAGACATGACAGCTCCCAACACGTTGCGAATCGAGCACTCGAGGCGCAACTCGACCATGTTGAGTTGATCCAACGTTCGCCCGCCACACATGTAATGGCGCGACACCAAGACCGACGTGGGAAAGTGCCGGCCGTCTTGCTTGGGGATCACAAACGGAGGCACAGGCACTTGATGATGTTGCAACACGCGTACAAGCTCAATGTCGTCCATTGTTGCAATGAACTCGTCGATCGTGAGGAATCGATGGCCGAATGTGTACCCCATACCTCGGAAGCCGACCATGTCCTTGCATGCCAACAACAACCTTCTTGACGAAGAAGGCGCAAGTGTATCCGGGACGAAGTCACCAAATTCCATCATGGTTTCTAGATGGAGGTCGTTCGCGAAGTTGAATTGTTTGCGAAGGGTGTCGATGTCATCGCATTTGCATGGAAGATCCAGGCCCCACATTACATGTTGGATCATGTCGCGCAGCTCCGATGCATGCACTTGAGTGAGCGAGATGGTGCCATCGTCGACCAACTCGCGGCTCTTTCGCTCCATTTCGCTGTGTGTGGGACTTGTCGGTCTATTCAAGCCCCCAAAACGCGTTATCGGCGGCAGCTCTTTATGGAACCACACGACCTGTGCATCGACAAAAGTCACGCACTTCTTGGTCAAGCGGGGCTTCTTCGCATCCCGGGACGACACAGCATCCACACTTCTCTTTTCGGAAGAGTTGCATGGAGACGTGGGTAGAATTGGCGTGTCTACGGACGGAGAAGGCGGCACCGGCAAGCAGTGGGCCGCCGTCATGTTGCCGCCGCCCTTTCTTGGATTGAATTTTGAAAATGGGCGGCTTTGATTGGTAGAATGATTGTACGATTACAAGCCTTTGATTGGTTGAAATTGGAGTCATTAAAGTCAAATGATTGGCTGGATATATGAATAATTTACCGTTCGTATTGTCAATACATCGTACATCGTACATCTCGTACTCCTAGCACTTCCACACACACCACCGTCAAGCAAGATGGCGACGATCACGGAACCTCTCGACTTGATCAAGCTCAGTCTGGACGAAGTCATCTACGTCAAGTGCCGTGGCGAGCGCGAGCTGCGGGGAAAGCTGCAGGCGTACGACCAGCATTTGAACATGGTACTGAGCGACGTGGAAGAGACCGTGACGAGCGTCGAGATTGACCAGGAAACGTACGAAGAGATTGTCAAGCAGGCCAAACGTCAAGTGGAGATGCTGTTTGTGCGAGGGGACGTCGTCATTCTCGTCGCGCCACCTTTGCGAACGGCCACCAACAAATAGACTCATCTCTCATGTTTATCCTTGTTGACGATACGTGCACCTGTGTTGTCGCCGCCTGCTGCTCTTGCGACTGTGCAGGAGGTCGGCGTCCTCATCTTTATGGTAGCTACCCGTCTGCCACGACGCGAAATGTACGTTGTCCGCCACAGGATTGCGTCGATTCACGGCCGACTGGGGGCGAACTTTCTTCGGAGTCGGTCGCTCCCACACGACTTCATCTTGCTTTGAACCCAACGTAGTAGCAGCATTCGTCATCGTACTAGCACCTTCCACGTTTACCGATGGAGCACGTGGCGATGGCGGCAGCTTGCGCCGGGGGGTGGACCACGCCACCTTTTCTTGCTTGGGGCGAGAGTTAGGTAGCCACTGGTTCGCCTCTCGCAACTTGGCTTCCCTGGCTTGGGTGGCATGGAGCACGTCCCTCCGTTCGGCGTCGATGGCGGCTCGCAGTTGCTTGCGGACGTCCACGTCATATACAAAATCCACGGGGATCGTTGGTTTCCGTCCACTTCGTTTCGCGGCGGCAGATTGAGGTCGAGGTTTCGACGACTTTGTGGATGGTCTGGTTTCATTTTGCTTGCCCTTGTTGATGTCAGACGAGAGGTCCGAGTTGTTGTCGAGCGGGGGAACAAAGTCCTGTGGACATGCGCACGGAGTGCCAAACGCGGTGCGCACGGCGTCCAAATGCAAGGACGCATCTGCATGACAAGTTAGAACGCGGCGACAAGGATGACATGGACGACCTTTCTTGGCAAAGGCACAGGCTTTCTTGAAGCCTCGGATACTCAGCCCCAGACCATGTTCAAAGGCATCGATGGCTATTCAATATGCGAGCATGGACCAAGGTTATAGGGGATGATAAGGCGCACCTTCGGCAACGGAGGGGTCGGCCGTACGCCGCACTTGGTGCTTCATACGTTTCGTTTCGAAAGGGTTGGCGCTATTTATACTAAAGTGATCGTTGGGCTGTCATGGAATAATTCTGCAGAGTGACAGTAGTAACAGCGCGAAGAATGACCTGAACGTGTTGTATCCGTACTACTACACCGCGCCTTCTGTCTTTGTCCATGATGCGCTGGGACTTGTATTGCTACTTTATCTGCGAATGTACCCAAGTTTCCGGCTACAACTTGCATATCATGGCAAATGTCAGGGGATGGCTGTCATTGCCGCGGTGCATATCCACGCAGACGTCACAGTTCCTTCAGTGGTAACTACATCCTACTACATAAGCTTGTGCAGTCCCAAGCTCGCTTTCTCGTGTTGGCCTGCCGCAGGTTGGTCTGAAGTTCAGCTCACGCCCCTTCACGAAATTAGGTATCCGGATAACGACGTGGCAGTTTTGGTGTTCTCTGGGCAACGGCAGGTCAGGCGCATCCGGATAACCCATCAGCGTGCTTTGCAACATCAAACCATCATCAACTAACTCGTGGTCGCCCCTAAGATGTCCCGCCAGCAGCAGCAGCATGAAGAGACAGACGAAGTTTCCGCGAGAAACAAGTCCATGTTCCATCGAGTCCGGCAAGCCCAAGTCAGTGGTCGCATGACCACGTGGAAACCGCTTCCATCGGCGGCGATGGGGTCGAGCCTGCACGACCGGCCGCTTCTCGTGCACCCGAATATTGACTCGCTCTTGCCGGTGCTGGACACACATCCGAAGCGATTGCTCAAGCAAATGAACCATCTAGATGCGTTGCTCAATGCGCACCAACTGTCCGACGTCGTCGTGCCCCTGCAAGCGCTCAGTCGATCGATCGTGCCGCCGACCGGCATCCCCACGCGAATGGACGACCGCGACAACTTCATTCAACTGGGCGGCCCCGAACTTCTGCAGCGCATCCTGTTTGCCATCCTCCGGGATCGGTCCATGGAGCTCTTCCCCGGCGCGTGGCCTCCCGGCACTTCGTCGCGGCCGCTGCACTACTCGTACCGCGAAGAAACCGCGCGGCGGCGCAGTCGCATGGCCGGGTCGGACGTCGCGACCCAGGACAAGCTGACGGCGCTGGCGGAATCTCTCAACTTCCTGCGGGAGCTGTGCTTCGTGGCGCCGACTCTGGCCAAGCAGCTAGGACAGGACGACAGCCTGACCATCGTGCTGTTCCAGCTCATGGGCAACACCATCTTCTTCGAGCACGCCGCGGGCCTCGTCGAGGAAATCCTGAGCATTCGCGACATCTCGTTTGATTTGAGCCTCGTTCGTACGTGATGCATGTGTCCATGTTGTAGCAATTGATTGTTTTTATCGTTTATATTCGATTTGAATGTCATATTTCACATGCCTTGTCATTCCAACTTTTATATATAATACCAACTAATATATATATATCAACGAATACGTATTCATGACTATCTCGAGCTTTGTTTGTCCAGTTTTCACAAAATATCGTAAACCTCAACTTTTATATATATATATATATAATACCAACTAATATATATATCAACGAATACATATTCATGACTATCTCGAACTTTGTTTGTCCATTTTCCACAAAATATCGTATACTTCAACTTTTATATGTATATACCAACTAATATATAAATATATATCAACTTTTATATATATATATATTCATGCTGTTCTGGTAGCGGACTTTCACACGACGATTCAAACGTTTTCTTCGCGACAATTGGCGTTTTTCTGTCGCATCTTGGCGCTGATTGTGTTTGAGCCAGAGGACCGTCGGCTGCTCGAAAACTCGCGTACGTTTCTTTTATCACTATATTTTGATATTTTGGCGAATTATTATTATTTTGAACTATACAAATGTAGGCGTAATAAAATCTGTCGAGTTGCTGCGCCTTCGTCGCGAACGCATGCAAAAAGCTGACAACACCGTGGACCGTAACCACGCCGTGCTATTCCGCACGCCATCCGTCTTGAACCGCCTCATGCTGGTACTTCAGCTGCAGAACTACCTATTTGCCATCAACCCAGCCTACGACCCATACTCGCACGAGATCCAGTCGTCCACAGAATGGGCCATGCTATTTTCGCTCGAACAGCAGGAAGAGTGGGATTTGCTGGATAACCCGACGGTGGCCACGGTGCTGCGCGAAGCCATGGAGAATGACCAGAGCAATGACGCGGCGACGTCACCGGAGCAGAGTTTGTTCAATTTGAGCTCGACATATTTTCGGTACGAACTACCGCTCCAATTATAGTGGTTTAAAGTGTCATATTTGGTTGGTTACCTCGTGCTAGGAATCGTTGGATGAGTCGACTTATGTCTGTGTGTCACATATATATATATATATATTAATATTCATAGTTCGAGGTATATATATAACGTACGAATTAGTGTATGTTTGGACAATAGCATATATCTGTCTTGGCGTGCATTGGATTGTCGTATCTAGAGTAGTATGGTGTAATATATTCATGACTACTTGTGGATAATTTCATGTATGGCCACACCCTATTTTTTGCCAAATTAATATGTTGAAATTTTGGTTTAAAGTAATAATTCAAATACATTGGTTGTCACCTATTTTGGCCTGCTTTGGAAAGAATACACGGTGCTTGCCACCTTTCAGATAAAAAAAACCGTCCCTAGAACCATTTCTTTTATTACTTAAAAATCGAAATACGCGATATTTGGCAACATATATTCATTCTATTCTCCAAATGTTAGATGATTGTTTCGATTTGTTAAAAATTGCCAACCTTTTTTGCCTTGTATTTTTTGTTATCCACATGCACATTTGCATAATAAATGTGTGTTTTTCCCCTGCTTTTCATCTTGATTTGGTAGATCGTTGATGTCCAGGCAACGACTGCAACACCATCGGTCTGTGGCAACGGCGCTGGACCGGACCGACGTCGAAGCCGAGTTACTCGTCAAGAGCATCGCATTGGCGCCATTTCGGGTGGAAGTGCTGTTTGTGATCTGCACGCTGCTCAGCTCCAAGCGCAAAGTGGACTTTCAGGATGCGTTGGCCGAGATGGGGCTCGTGGACATTTTGAACCAGATGTTTCTGCGACTCAAGTGGAACGAGCCGCCGCCGACGCCGCCGTCGGTACGACACCTCGTTGATTAATATGAAAGGTCTAATGTGGTACACTACGTAGCAACCGCTGCATGGCCCTGGGTACGTGAAATACACTAAACCCTTTACTTTGTGTGTTTTTGCATTTCACCGGAATTTAGTATATTGGACTTGGGAGTGATTTATTATAACATTTCGAATCCATTTTGGACGTCGAATTAAGCTTGTACAAATGATACTATACAAAGATTAGTATATACGTGGTTTTGCCCAATGCAGAGGGACTGGGTCGAATCAAACGTTTGGATTGGCTGAAATTCGACAGAACGTGATTTGATTGGCTTTGGCGTTTTCTGTGAATTATCCATGGTCTAAAATCCTTCGATTCTACGGCGGGTTCCAGTTTATCGAGTCAAAATGATAATATATATTAATATTTATGTATAATTAGGTGTGAATGCAGCATGGATGCGAGTTTAAAAATTCAATTTTTGCGGTTGATTCACAATTTCTGCGACCGCGACGTCCAAGACCACACCAATAAATTGCTGCTCTTGTCCCCTGCCGAACAACACAGTGTGCGCAGTACGTTGTCATCTCTATACATGTCCTTGATAGTTCGTTGCCCACGAACGATGGCAGCAACTCGTATATATATATATATATATATTTATATATATTTATTTTTATATTTATATATATCGAAACGGTAGCGGGCGACCGATTGGACCCGGCGCGACGTGGAAAGGGCTTGCTGTGCAAAATCATCGACGTGCTGGTACTCCAGCCCGCCGACAGCATCTACCGCTTCTGGCTCGCATCGTGCGTCGAGTCGTTTCTCCGCCGATCGTCCCCCGCGGAGCAACTGTTTGTCGCCCGCACGCCGTTGCTGGCGGCGTTGCTAAAGGAGATTCTGAGCTGCGGGTTCAGACCTTCGGGCAGTTTGCAGTCGGCGTTCGATCTGCTGGGCGAAATGACCAAGAACAACCCGACCACCCTCGTGCTATTTAGCGATTCGATGGACGACGTCCAGTTTGCCTCGTTTATGCGTACGTTTCGTCTGAAATATCAAGTGCCATATATATATTTCCTGGCGGGAGTATACAAAATTAGGGGGTAAATATACCCTAGTATGCCTAGCCAATCTACTGATGGGGATGTGGGGGGTGATATGAAATTTCGTGTGATGAGTTTTGGTTTGTATGGCTAGCTAGCTATAGGAAATAAATAGGAAGCCATATTCCGTGTGCGTGTGGTGTCCACTCGACCGTTGTGCAGGCATGGGGGATTCAAAATATCCTATGTTCCCGTATATATCATCTCTATCTCTATATATTATATTATATTCTTTTTATTATTGTCCTATTTATAGATTTATTATATATATATATATGTATATTTATTGATTTACGTTGACCTCGCCTTTGTTATGTGTGTGTGTGATGTCAATCTATCGTTATCATGTTATTTTCATGCATATATATCTATATATTGACCTGCGTGTTGTATATATATATATATATATATATATATATGATGTCAATACATCTATCTCGAATTCTATATAAATGACATTGAGTATATATAGAGGTGGTGGTGTCTAATTTGGTCGACTCAAACGTGTTTGTGCGGTCGATGCTGCTATCCGTGGAGACCCATCCTCGGACGTCGGCCATGTTTCCGTCGTTGGCGCGGCTGTTTGAGTTTTTGCAGCTCAATTCCGTCCGTCTGCTTCGCCACCTCATGACGATCGTGACCCTGGACGACATCAACCACGAAAACATTTGCTGTCTCAACACGGCCGTGGTCATGCTGGTCTTCGAGCACCGCCAGCGCCGACTCCCGCGTATGCTCGAGGTCTGTACGACTGTCCAATATGTATGTGGCATCCGATATTAGTTGAATGCCTGGCTACTGTGTAGGCCCTGCGCCAGCTACAAACTGAAGTCGACGACGGCAATACTGACTTGTGCGTCAACTTTCGATCGCTGCTGTGGTTCTGGGTGCAGTACTATGTTCCCCGCGGCAGAGACCGCCTCAGCCTAGAGCATTCCTCCGACATGAAGTTCAATGAATGGTACTCTGTCGTGGCGCTGCTGTGCGCGGACGATGGGTCGCCCGCCGCGCTGCTGCCGGCGCCCACCCTCCTGCCGGCGTCGCCGTACGTGGTGCATCACATGTCGTCGGGTCCACGGGCGTCGTCTGCTCACCACCCGTACGCGTACCCGACTCGACGCATGTAATACAGTAGTCAACACGAGAGTACCAGCAGCAGCCTCCTCTTGGTCTGCTTGTACTACTTTGGACTTACAAGTAGTATGCTTATCGTTCGTACACTATTACAAGTGTATACTTCGATGTTTATATACTAGTATATATATATATAGATAGTACAGGAGAAGAACTGCGATATGATATTGTACGCGTCGGTGTAGTGATAAAGTTGCTACAATGTGTATGGGGCCTTGGCGGCGTTCTGGTTGCATGACTACAGTATGTATCGATCCATAAAACTAACTATACACCAGAGATAGATAGCATCACTGCTACGCTACATACTTACTAGTAAGTACTATTAATCGTAGTGCTACTCCTACGAAGTAGTAGTACTAGTAGTAGTTAGTACCTTGGAGTGGGTATGTGACATAGAAGTACTAGGTAGTAAGTAAGTAGATGGATTACTTACTACCTTACGACGGGCTTAGCTGTGGTATCTGGTGCGGTCATAACGACACTAGTACCTTACGACGTTGTGGTGGGGTCTACTACTTGGACGAGATGGGCTTGGTCGTCGGGGGGCCTCGAGGCAGACATACACGTGGGCAGATTGAGGCTTTGGAAGCGCGTGAGTTGGTCGTACACCCGCAGGGACTGGCTCAGCACGCCGTTAGCCGCCGTGAGGATGGACGCCGACGACTGCAGCAACGCGTCCACCGCGTCATTGTGGTGGGGCGACGTGTGCAGGAACGACGTGAGCTGGGCCTTGACGTCTTCCATCTACATCGCAAGTGCGTACAGTATATAGATCGAGGGGAAATGGATGGCTACGATGGGCTAATGTAGTACCTGCTGCACCGCCACGTGAATGGTGGCGGCAATGGCAGTGTAGTTGCACTTGGTGTCGCGGCAGAGGTTGTGCGGAGCGTTGGGGTCGTCGAACCACTGGACAATGCCAAGGTCGTTGTCCGATGAAGACGACGGGAGCTGCATGAGGGCGTCGGGTGCGTAAAAGTTGAGCTTGGACGTAAACACGCACGGGTCGCTTGTCGGTTCGATGCTGTCCGTGTACTCGGACATCCCAATGTAGTCTTTTTTGGTCAGCTCCACCACGAGCGAGTAGCGGCGATCGGGATGGCCGACGCACACGTCGCCGTCGTCAAACACGAGGCTTCGGTACGTGCGCTTGATCTGGTCGCCTTCGTAGCCTTTCCAAATGCTGCCGCCACCCACATGCATAGCACATGAATACTACCAGTAAGTACTACACATGAGAGAACAACCAACGTACGTACCCTAGCAGCGTCTTCTTGGCATCTGTCTTGAACGTGACGTTGTGGAAGTAGTGCAACGACATGTCCCCCCTATGTGACGGTTAGAAATCGTCCAGGGGTGACGATGTAGGAGTTACGAGGCGGTGTCGAACGTCGTCCATCGCGTGATCGGCTCGATTCGCGTGACTTTATCCGCCAGCACGCCTCCTTGGTACACGGACGGCGCCCGGATAGGAATAGGTTCGCGAATGATGCGCTCCTTGCGCTGCTTGATGACTACTGGCGTCGACACGGCGGCTTCGCATGCCATCAGGCCGAGAAGGACGAGCACCACGCCACGACCAAGTGCCATGGCAGTGAGTGATTGCAATTGTTACTCAAACTAACTGAAAGGACTTTTTGACTATTTGAGGATTTATTTCGCTCAATTACACGAAATTTATGATGAAACTGTGATTTTCTCATCTCATTTGAAATCCATCCACCGCAAAATTCAAAAGGATTCAAGACTTCGCTACTACTCCGGAGTACTAGTAGCTGCCACAGCAACATCCAGACCACCCAGCATCGCCCCTCCATCATGGTCATCAGCCATAGTCGTGCTAACGTTAGCATTGATCACCCCTGAACCTTTGACCTGCATCACCAACGGCGATGGGACGATAGCGAAGCCACACATTCGAATGCACATGGGGAAATAGGACCGACGGTCTACCACACCTTGGTTGGGTTTATTACAGTGTAATTACTCCCATCCAAGCCGTGCATCTCTTGACACCGATCGCCCGACAAAGTGAGCTGGCACGACGATCCCTGTAAGTTGTGGACAATGGCAGCAGCAGCGGCAGGTCGGGTTTGGGGTTGCAGACACAACGCTTAATAGTCGGACGAACCGCCGAACATGTCCATGCCACCGCCCAAGTCGGCTTCTTCTTCTTCTTCCTTCTGTTCTTCCTTCTTAGGGGCAGCAGCGCCAGCGCCGGCGGCAGGGGCAGCCGCGGCGGCACCACCGGCCGAAGGACCGGCCAACGCCTTGGACACCTTCAAGCCACGTTCAATGGCGTTGGCGTACAACGAAGGCAAGTACGACGCGACGGTCACACCGGCAGCGGACAAGGCTTCGGTCAAGTTGTCGGCGGACACTTCGACTTGCAAGTCATGGAGCAAGAGCACAGCCAACGACGTGGCCAAGTCTTGGGTTTGGGCAGGAGTGAAATCAGCGATCGACATACTAAATCAAGAGATAAGAGAACTGAATCCGATTAAGCGCAGAGGCAGAAACCAGTCTTGGAATGACCTCGCCATACAATTGGCTCATTGCCATCTAAGGTTTCGCCACCAACCAATTTCCACTGCTGGCCCTCCCATTTTAGCCAATGGCCTTGCACCATTCTTTGGGGCCAATCAGAAGTGATATCCGGAAACTATCCGGCCAATGACGCTTCAGAATTCACACAGGATCTATGCATCATGCGAAAAGCTGCCGTCAACTTGACCACAAAGTCAAAGTCGTAGTACCTATGATAAGCCACATATAATGCGATACTGTCCATACAATAAGTACAATGTTTGGACTGGTACGTAATATTGGAAAACTCACCAACTATTCCAGCCTAGTAATACTCTACCCGACTACAATCTGTCGGACTCGCGAAGGCGCGTCATGGACGACGTTCGGTGGTACGATGTCACAGCTTGGATGCTGCTGGCATTGAGCAAGTGCCGATGGACGCCGTCGACGGCCTCGCGCTCCTCTTCCTGGCCTGCCGCCATGCCATTGAAGATCTCTTCCAGCGTCGTGTCACTGAGACTGTATTGCTCGATGGGAACGCCCACGGCGCCTTCTTCCATGAGCGAAAACAAGCTCGTCAGCGTATGCCCGCTCGATTTAGGCACATGGTAGCGGAAATGCTCGGCGTGATGCTCCACCAACGACGCGAGTGGCAGTTCCTGGGTCACGAACGCCTCCAGGTCTGCGCCCATGTCCTCTAGCATCCACCAGTGCCTCCATACATCAGACGGGACGCCGCCTTCATTGTCCAAGTAATGCCGCAGCACCCAGCCAGAATCCCCCGTCCCCCGCACGATCTTATCCCATCGCTCGTACATCCCCGCGTCCATACACGTGCGTTCCATATCGGCCGCCGTGACCTTGGAGGACACCCCGCCATCAGTGCCAACATCGGCGGCGGTCGTCGAGGGTGTGGTGGTTGTGCCCAATCGAATGTCCAATGTAAACCCGCGGCCAAACTTGTGCTTGAGGTGCTGCGCTGACCCGAGGCACTTGAGCTGGCCGCTTACGAGGATGCCAATGCGACTGCACAGCGCCTGACACTCCTCCATGCTGTGCGTAGTGAGCAAGATACTACAGCTCTTGGTCGCGAGTACGTCCACCAGCACATCCCACATGCGTCGTCGGGCGGCCGGATCCATACCCGTCGACGGCTCGTCCAGCAGCAGCACCGCGGGGTTCCCCAACAGGGCGATCGCAGTCGACACCTTGCGCTTGTTGCCGCCGCTGAGCCCCCGCGTGAGGGTACTCCGGAATGGTTCCAACTCGAACTGCCGCAGTTTGTCTTCCACCGCGAGGCGGACGTCCGCCATCCCCTTGAGTCGCGCATACAGCTCGAGTTCCTCCGCGACTGTGAGCGTGTCGTGCAGGGCGTCAAATTGGGGGCAGTACCCGATGTGTCGCCGGGCCGCACGGAGCTGCGTCCGGACATCGAGCCCCGCCACCGTCACGGCGCCGCTCGATGCCGCCAGAAACCCGTTTAGAATCTGCATCGTCGTCGACTTGCCGGCGCCGTTGATCCCGAGGTATCCAAAGCACTCGCCCTTTGGAATGCCCAGCGAGAGCGACTGCAGCGCGACCTTGTTGTCATCGTATTGCTTGTGTACTTTGCGCAACAGTATTGCATCAGACGCGGCGGCTCCTCGGGCCACGCGGGCGGCTTCTGCCACGACATCGCCGTCCACGAGGTGCGGCGGATCAGCTGCCACCACCAGAGGACCCGAAGATGACGAAGGAGGAGGAGGCTTGTGGCGGTCGGCGTACAGCACCCATGCTGAAAGCAAGACGATTTCAACGAGCCCGTAGATCAAGCTGCGCCCAGCGACGTTGAACTCGAACGCCTGGGCCACACAGCAAGTCGGATCTTTGGTCGACGCCCAGCACGATTTCGACGCTGGGCACGATGTCGCAGTGAACCAGTTGGTACTACTACTGCCATATGGGTTGCCATACTTGCGCATGCCAATCTGAAACAACCCGTCCGAGAGCTGGTAGCCAGGAAACACTAGGTACACCCACCGCAAGTAGTTGGTGTCGAGCTGTGACAGCGTCAGCGTGTGCACGAGTTGAAAGTCCACCAGCCGGCACAGAAACGAAAAGATGCTCACAAGGGCACCGGTGACGAGCCCCACTACGAGCACAGACGTCTGCGCCGCTGAATGGTTGGTGAAGCGCATGCTTATAAGGTACGCCGCAGGTAGCACCGTCATCACGTGCACGACAAAGAGCGCGAGCGCCGCGACCATGGACTCGACGTCCCCCCGATAGGACGAGTACAGCGGCAGCAGTCCCACCGCCACCGCTACGGGCACAAGCGTCCCGAGTACATCGTGGGTCCATAGGCTCATCCAGTACGCGAGCACCGACGTGCCGCACGCCACTTGCTGGTACTTGGCGTTCTGGTGCGGATGGCGTTCCTTGACGGGAAACACCACGACGCTAGCAGGTACAAATGCAAACCCAATCACAATCACGAGCGCCGCGAGGAATGTGTTGATCACGCCTTGCAGCTTGGCGTCGGCTTTCCGGAGGCACCCGGTGCCTTGAAAGCATGGCCATCTATTGCCTTCGCACGATGAGCATGGCGCAAAGGGGGACACGGCGGCGTCCGTCGCATCGCAGCACGCGGTGGCGTTGCATGCCCCGGATACGCTGCAGTGGCTAAACCAGTCGTGGATACAGGCCGACTTGCTCGCCATGAACCCGGGCACGGAGCTGCAGAACGGGTACGACGTGTTCGCAGAGCCAAACTCGACCTGGACGTCCGAGCACGAGCTAAGGCTTTCATCCGGGCATCGCACGCCAAACCCCCCCTGGCAAGGCGCCCCCAGACTCACACATGTCCGCTGAGACGGCGGCGGGATGCCGAAGATGCACCCGCGCACGTCCCCCGTCGAGTTGCCGACGACCGCCCGACACGTTTCAAAGTTGGCTAAGTCGGCGGCGGACCCTTTCTTGTACCATGGCAAGTACGACGCCACGTTGATTGATGGCAAGAAGGCGAGAATGACCAGGAATGCAATGGGGATCCCAATCATAAACACCCAGCCCTTCTTGTCTCGTTTCGAACAGCGAAATCTAGTCCAATATAAACAAACTAAGTACACAATCAGGTGCGGGTGGTTGTCTCTACAACGATTAGCGCAACACACATGCATTTGGACCTTTTACCCAACATTTGGACATTTATGCTGAATCGCCAAAACTATCGATTGATTCTTTGTATTGAATTTTGTATGTAAACACAAACATCCTGTGGTGATTCGTAATCACACTAATTGAATTCACACACTAATTTGACGTTGATAATGGTTGCCTGCAATCTGATTGGCTCAATTCTTCAGTACATTTTTTGGTTTGATTCGATTTATTCTCCATGTCCCTCCAGTTTAGATAAAACACAACAACATATATATGATAAAAACCAGGGACGATATATTGGATAGAATTGGGTCAACAGCACACAGCTAGTAATAGCTGTGTAAGTACAGCTAGTACTACTACTAGTAGTAGTACATATAATACATAATGAAAAGCCGACTCCAACACGAAAACGTTGTCACACTAATATAATCATGCGATACCGTTTCTGCACGAGTGCCACGTATTGCGCCCCAAATGACGTGGAGGCGTGGCCTGTACTTGGACGACCCGCCACCGGGGCGGCCACGCGCTTGGAGCCCCGTGCGTCCGGCCCCATGCGACTCGCGCGCCACTCGCTCAAGTCGGCGTCGGACGTCCTGCGATACAGTGGATTGAAAGTCTGTTTGGATTGGTGCGCAATCCGCAAAAACACTTGCTCCAACGTCGTCACAGAGATGCCGTACTCGACCACGCGCAGCGCCGTCAAGTGACTGTCGAGGCCGTCCAACAGCGCCGGGAACGCGCCGCTCGATGCCGACGGCAGCTGCACCACCAGCTCCGACCCGACCGTGCTCAGCACCGACGCCTCCGCCACAAACTGGCGAATAAACAGTACAATCTCGGTGCTACTACTCCCGTCCGCTTTGACCAACGTCAAGTTGTACCCTGCTCCGTACAGGTTCTTTAGGAAGAGGGATGTGCCGGCGCATACGAGGCGGCCATCCGCCATGATGGCGATGCGATCGCCCAACAGATCCGCCTCGTCCATAAAGTGCGTCGTGAGCACGATCACGCGGTCGGCTCGATTTTGCTGCAGTACGTTCCACGTAAACCTACCAACAATACACATACATATATCCAGTCTTTCGTAGCCACTTGCTTAGCAATTATACAGCAACTCCAAAACATACCACAGCACAAAAACGTCGTCACAAATATATATATATCCCCAAGGATGCAAATACTATATCATAGTGACTACAGGAATGGTACTTGTGAAGCCAAAGACATCTTACTTGGGTATTGTATAGATTTTTCGAATCAAATTTCTCGACTACTCGAATCGACGCTAGTATTGGCTAATTTTCAATTTTGAGTGGATTTGATTGGCCCGTACAGAAAGAACCAAGTATATTCAACCAATCAGAATAACTCCAGCATGAATATTCAATTTCTTGCTTTGACAAACCACTCGAATTTTGGAAGTTTATAGAATACTATAATAACTTATATATATATATATAAACCAATAGTCATCCACATCATGTATCTAATACACTACGAGGATCCATCGTACCGCCTCGAATATGGATCCATGCCTGACGTCGGCTCGTCCAGGAACACGACGCGGCTGTTGCCAATCAACGCGATCGCGACACTGAGCTTTCGCTTTTGCCCGCCGGATAACTTGCGGACGATGACGTGGCGCTTCTCCGTGAGACCTACCTCGGCCACGAGCCCATTGACTTGGGTTTGCACGTCGTCCGGGGGGACATTCTTCAACGCTGCGTACAGCTCGAGGTGCTGGTGGACCGTCAGGTCGTCGTACAGTACGTCGTGCTGCGGGCACACGCCCATGGATCCTCTGAGCTCGTCCATGTGGGTTCGAATAGACTTGCCGAACACGGTGGCGTCGCCTCCGCTGGGCGGATACAGCCCCGTGAGCATCGAGATGGTAGTCGACTTGCCTGCGCCGTTGTGGCCGAGCAGCGCCGTGATCTGCCCAGCGTACATGGTCAAATCGAGGGCGTGGACGGCAACCTTGTCGCAGTTTGTGTTGTCATCTGTGGGAAATGTCTTGCGCAGGCCGCACAGTTGAACCACGTCGCCGCTGCGTGCTTTGGCGATGAGCACTTGTGTCGGCGGCTCCACTTGAGGCAACGTCTGGTTGTCGTCGTCGTCGTCATTGACGGGGTGCCGCAACGGTGTCGCATGTTCTCTGAACTCGAGCATCGACGTGTTTGGGGACTCTAACATGGAGATGGCATGATGGTTGTGATGCGATGATTGGCTCGTCGAGAGCTCGTACGTTCCACGCCAATATGTCGCTTGAAATACAAAGTTCCAACGTTTTCGAACCCCAAACTCTTGGGGAACAACCTGCTGAAAGTACCACCCCAATACTAGCATGAGCCCAGCATCGCCAAGTAAAAACCACGTCATGTGGGCTGTACTAGTACTACTAGTACTAGTACTACTACTCGTGGCCACGAGCCCTTGTTGGGCTATCGCGTAGAACGCGCCCGTGCCTTGGCGTGCGTCGTCCACCAACGAATTGATGCCTATCGAAGCAACGATCAGTCCATTGCGAAGAAACGTTTAGTACATTGCGAAGCAACGTTTAGTACATTGCAAAGCAACGCCCCATGACACTTAACAAATAGTAATACTGTACCCATCGCAAACGCAGTGGGAGCGGACAGCGCGGCCGCATACTTGTGCGCGATCGACTTGTCTTGCACGGCGTAGAACGGCAGGAACGCCACTACCCACACAAGCACGGACGCGATGGAGGCTGTCTTGGACTTGTTAAAGAACACCGCTACGAGGTTGCTGAAGCTTAGAATCGCCAGCAGAAAGCTCCAGAAGAACAGGGTAAGCGTGGACAGCGATGCCATGGGAAATACGCGGCCGAGTTGCAGCTCCGCCGCCATCGCTACGGCCACGACCGAGTACTGGAGGAGCCCCGTGACCAGCCACGACAGCACCAGCGGCCCCTCCTTCATGCCCATCATCCGCATGCCTTCTGCGATACGGGTCTCCTTCTCCATCACCATGCGCGATGTCACAGACGGCACGAACCGCAGAAAACTCAGCAGAAAAAACATGCCAAACACCGGTTGCCCGCTCGAGTAGAACGATGTCTGGGTGGACGTGGGCTCGCCGTCAGTAAACACGAACTGGAGGTTGGCCCTGCAAGTGTTCAGCAAGTTTGGGACCAACCCGGCGATCGATGGCGACGTGGTGGTGGCAATGGGGGTTCGACGTCGGTTGGTGATGGTGTCGAGGTTTGCAAGCACCACAAGTGGCGTGACCAGCACGAGCGGCAAGAGCAGCTCAAAGAGAAATCGCCACGGCCGCGTCTTTATGAGCAGTATGTTCTTCCACACGAGGACGCGGAGTTGCCGTGTCATGCGAAGGGAGCGCGTCCATGGATTGTACACGCCGGAATGCACAGCGGCGTTGCGTTTCCCGATGCAAAGCAGGATCCACATGACGAGGGCGACTGCAAGCACAAGGCTGCCGACGACAATGAGCGCAATGGCGGACGTGGAAAAAAGCGGATTGTTGCATGCGAACACGCCCGAGAAAGCTTCGTCCAACACCTGTTTGCATTCGCGGTTGGCGGCATTCGTCTGGCAGCTCAGCATTGTCGTGAGTGCACTGCAACAATCAGAGGTCGGAGACGACACATCGGGGCATCGCAGGGCACAACTGGACGACACAAACAACCCTGACTGCAGCACGCATGCGTAGTACAGCGGGTCGATTGCGATACCGGTGCTCATACATTGCTGGAGCTGCGCTCCCATGTACATGGCATAGCTGGTCATGGAGCGATTGGGAAGGGGTCAACAATGTAGCCTCGGCTCGATTGTGCGCGCGACCTACGGTTTTTGAAAGTGTGTCCTACGCTAAACTTGTTCCATCGAAGGGAGGAAGGAAGGTTGGGGGAAACATCTAGTCTCTGATTGGCTAATATTATTATGTAAATACATGGAAAAGTTACGTCGTGGAAATAATACCTTGTTGATTGTATGTCCTAACCATGCGATGCCAGTGACTTGGTCGTGGGATGAAAAGATACACAAATTCCATTTGTCCAAATTAAAGAAATTGGGTCTAAACAGTAACGTTATTTCGAAAATTAAGTCCGTTGTGTAATATGGACAACCCACACTCGTTCACTGAAGCTTGGTGGTGTCGACACATGTCTTGCCATCAAGGCTGAGTGCAACTGTGGTACAGAAACCGACTTGATATATGTACTACCGTAAGCTGTGAGTTGGCGAATATTTTGGATCGTGGTGGACATGCCAGAAGGACGTATCCTCCGTAATGTAGCAAGATCCATTTTGGTTTCACCACTGGAAAACTCTTCGTCGTGGGGTACCATGGTATGGAAATCGCGGGGCTTGATGATTCTGTGCGTACTAGTATAGTACTGAGTATGCAGGTATTGGATGTTCTTACTCACAACTGTCAAAACTTCCACAGGAAATGAACCGCCCAACAATTTCCCGGATCATACATACGGTATTGGTAATTCGATTTCAAAATATCGACGAAGCAAAAGCGATTCAGTAATCGACGGATCAAAGTAGCCAATGAAATTGTCGAAAAAACAACCTTTCGACCAATCAAATTGCAGTCGGCGTATGCCAATTCGCAAAGAGTTCAACGTTGTACATATTGGACAGGAGTCACAGCGAGTATATTTAGTTCAAGACGTCTCGACGAGGTGGATTTGACGTCGTTCCTCGAATCTACCGAAAATACCAAATTTATTGTTAGGTTGAAAGCACAATAACGTTACTATTAATAGTACTGTATTTCCTCGTACACTTAGTGTATAGTATCATACTGAGTATTACGCAGTTTATGCCATTTTTCGTGGCATCCAGACGCAATATATCATACTATTAATATTGTGCTTTCGAGTGAAATTTCGTGGTTTCTCGTTCGTATTTAAATCGATTTGATTGGCTACTTCAGAAGAGCTCAAAATTATTAGCCAATCTTAAAACATTCTCAATGAAATTGAACCAATCAGATCGATTGTGGATCGGTTTGGTCGGCGCGATTCTCTCCCCAAATTTGTATCAAATCGAGAGAAGTATCGATTTATTTGTTTGTGATTTCTACAATCTCCCCAAAATTGGCAAATTCAGGCGAAATGCACAATACAGTGTAATTACTACCGGTAGCAAATCAAAAGCAATGAAACATGACTGAATTGTTGATACTATAAAGGCTAAGGTCCTGCACGGTGTGTGCCATCGTTCGTTGGAATCGCAAGCATCCCACCACGTCCAAACTTGGGGACTTTGCTTGGTTGCAAGTCGGCTACCATTGCTTCAAGCATGCGTTTTTGCGCCTTCAGATTGCACATGGAGGCATCCAGACGACGAACGATCTCTTGCGCAGCACCCTTCAACCCGTCGAGGTCTTCCAGGCACGAATTCACAATGGTCAATGGTAGATGCATATTGTGTTGCGCCAGACGTTTGTCAGCAACGCGGAGAACTCGTTGCAATGTTGGCAACACATTCGATGGGGGCGCCATGCCAACGTTGGCAGCATGCAAGTACAGAGGCTTCTACAAGATACCAGCCGCCCAAATTCGCCACGCAGCCTCGCTTGCGCGATATACAGACCCCCACTTCTTGAGTTGCACCACCATGGCCTGATGCACGGACTCGGCTGCAGCACCGGATTTGTCCCGTTCAGGAACTTGGACGCATTGCTCCTGAAATTGCTGGAAGTCACTCGCGTTGTTGATGTTGTTTCCCCATTTGTACACAAGTACCGTGAACGTCTCGTTGACATGATCCACCAAGTAGCGTTGGGCAAGTGCGCTGCTTGTCGGCTTGAATGGAGTCCGTCCCATTTTGATCGATACGAAGCAATCGAAGTCGTCATAGGTAAGGGGATCAAGTGACACTGACCATTCGCGTATGATGCCTTGTTCTCCATGTGCGGCCGGCACTGGTCAAAGATTTGTGTCTTGATGGCACCCCAGTTTGTGCCCTCGAATGTGGTAGGTGTCAGGCGCTTGCCGCTGTGGTCGCGGGCGCACACGGTGTCCTTGACAAACAGCTCCGCTGTCATCTTGTAGAGCATTCCGTTGTTCGGTGGAGTCGACGTGGAGTTATGTCGATCGGGGGGCGACTGCACGTGACCTTGGTTGCTCGTCATGGGGCAGAAATCGATTTGGGACTTTCACACACGAAGATCGAAGAATAGTGATTTGATTGGTTAAAAGGTGACTGATAACACACTTTGATTGGACAGTCGATTGTACGTCGATTGAACGATTGAACTTCTTTCTGTCCACGTTCGAACTGACGACAGCAAGAAAGCAACGCGCCGGCCACAGCGGGGGTACATTCAGCGGAACTTTGCTCCCTCCAGCATCGCTATATATGGCACTCGATCCTAACGTTACTACTGCACCTGTCAGCGCCCCTAACTACCGTACTGTACACCGTGCTGGGGCCGGCGCAAACATCGTGCTTATTTTGGTGTCGAATCGTCATAATACATGGTAGCCAATCCGCGTGTCCGAATTTGAACAACGCGTTTTGATTGGTGGATGTTCGATGGTTGGGCCGGATTGGCCAACCCAAAACTGCGCGTTGATATCAATCCAACATTCAATCAAGGAGTTAGCACCATGGGCAAGGTCAAGAAGCGTCGTAACATCAGCCACAAGAACGTTGCGCCTCCCACGGGCGGTCCGTCGCAAGCGGAGATTGATGACGCCATGGAAGGCTTGGACGACGAAGTCGATGCTAACGAGACTGCTGATGCCGCAACCACCACAGTGGCGGCGCGCGGCGGGAAGAAGCAAGTGCCCGACTTCCTTTCCGGGGTACGTCGGCGACTGCTCCATCATGCCATGTCCTCACGAGATCATCCTTGTTGTGTCCATCCAGCTGACCAACCTCCAAGGTTCTGTACGAGAGGCTACGTGTGTCGCGCTGGCATCGTTCTTTGCAGGCGAAGGGACCCCAGACAAGCTGAAAATGCTCGACAAATTGCTCAACGCTGGTCTGTTGAAGAAGCTGCTGCCGCGAGTGGTGGACCCATCGACGCTCGTGCGCCTCCACGCGCTGGGTGCCCTTCGGTACGTCAAGCCACCCTTTCTGTACGTTGCTAAGGTCGTATCGTAGCAACATCAGTGCGTTCGGGGGGTTGGACGTGTCCGAGTCCATGACGAGCGAAGACATTTTGACGCCGTGCATCAAGATTGTGGTGGAATATGCCGTGGACAACGTCGACGGCAAGGCGTCGCCGCACGCGGTGCCCATTCTAGAGCAAGTGTTTGCGCTACTGACAAACTTGTGCGAAAGCTGTTCGCTGGCGTTGGTCCAAGCGACGCACCAGCGCCACGCGTTGCTGCCTGCGTTGCTGCATTCACTACACGTGGCCAAGCAACCGGCGCTCCACCTCGAGACCATGAAGCTGCTGCTCGTACTATGCGACAACAACCCCGACCTGAGCCAGTCGTTTCCCGCCGAGTTTCCCCCGGCGTTGCTGCAGATTCTGCAGTCGCCGGAACATTCCACGAAACTTCGTCTGACTACGATCGGGGTCGCGATTAACCTGCCGAACGTGCTCGAGAACGCGCAGAGTGTTGGTCTGTTGCTCCCCGTACTGCAAAGTGCCGTCGCGTACGACCCCATTGGCGTCGTGGGGCAAGCCCAAGCCGCATCCGAGCAGTGGGACCTGGCGCAGCAAGATTACGGCACCGTCGAAGTGGTAACTTGATGACGTGGCACGCTGAGCGTTGACCTGGATGTTGTAGTTTGCCGACGAAGACGTGGAAGAGCGAGAGCATGTGGAAAAGGTCAAGAAGGCCGTGGCGGTCGTGCGGTCGTGGCGGGAGAACGTTCACATTTTGACGCTGGGCTTGGAATTGCTCAGCAACATGCTCGCGAACGTTGAATTAGGTGCATTCCATTCATATCATAGACGATGTAATGTCCAACGTCGTGGTGGTTATATATGCAGGAGACGACGGCGATGAGTGGGGAAGTGACGACGAAGATGGTATGGAAGAGGTGCGTTTATATTGTCGATTCGATATGAAATTTCCAGATCCATCGACGCTATTGGCTAATATTCAATTTTGATTGGATTTGATTGGCTCTTGCAGAAAGGACCAAGTATATTCAACCAATCAGAACTCTGGCGTGATTCAATATATTGATTCGACAAACCAGGCGAATTTTGGAAGTTTATAGCGAATTCACAATAGTTGAGCCATGTTTGTTCTTGGGATAAGTTGTAATAGGACATTTCCCATTGTAACCTGTGGCGCTCACTGGAATTTTCCTCGTGTGATATATGTTGAAGGGATTTTTTTCCGATGGATGTACTATAGGCGGCGCAAACCCAAGGCAACGCCGCGACGAGTCGCCCCGTGTCCGTTCCCGCTCAAGTGTTTGGTGCTGAAAACATCTTGCCCCATGTATGTGCCTACAATCCTCCATACAATGACGTGGCTGAACGACAACACTTCACAGGTGTACAGCATTGTGCAAAGCGTTGTAACTGTGCCCGCGCATTTGGCCGCTCCCGTGGGTATGTACGACCTTCGTCCAATAATATTTGGTGGTCCAATATGGTTGATATATTTTTTAAATATTAGTGGACGATTTCGCCGCCATTCGTGAACGCGCGCTCAACTGTTTGACGAATTTGGTGGCCAACTTGTCCGTCGCTGGTACGACTTCATTGTAAAACGACCGAGCCACTTCTAAATTGACTGGACGGCTGTGTATATTTCTTGTCTAAATTGACTGGTTGTGTATATTTCACGTCTATCCTTGTAGATTTGACCCGGGGCTGTGATTTAAACCAAGTGTTTCAAGTTGTGTTGGCGCTATATGCGGATGTACAGTCCAAGAACGAGTTGGCGCTGTCGAAAGACTTGTTCCAACCCGACCGCGCCAACACGGGCGACGTCGACGCCGCCGTGTACGTCGTCACCGTTGTTTGTGAGGCTGCCACGTCACCAATGTCTTGATATGGTAGTATGGCCGTGTTGAGTGCGCTCGTGCTTCGATCTGTGGACGACAACTTGCCGCTGAACGTGGCGCCCGAGCACTTGGGCGCCGTGCTGGCCAGTGCGCAAGCTTCGCCGTCGGTGGAAGCGCGCACGAGCGCCGTCCGATTGCTGGGCACGTTGGGCAAGAAGGCGCACTCGTTGCCCGAGAACAAGGTATTGTCTTTTTATTACCCCAAATTTGGTTGACTTTTGTGCGAATTCTTTACCAAATCTATCGATATATCGATTCTTTGTCCTGACTTTTGTATGTAAAGATCATCGAGTATCACACGAATTTCAATCACACACTAATTCGATGTTGTATTGGTTGAAGCGTGGATTTGATTGGCTACTTGATTCGTGTTGTGGGTTTTGATTGGTCGATTATCTGCCGATTGGGTTATTCATTGAGCACCACCCCACTCCAATATCGAATCGACTTGACAATATTGTAACTTGGACGTTGGATGCATTTCGCCACATTGGTTTCAAATCCATGTGTGATCACATTTAAGCTTGTACAAACTATACTTTACAAACAATAGTATACCTGATTTGAGGGACTAGGATTGGCAGAAATTCGACAGAACGTGATTTGATTGGCTTTGGTGGTTCTTGAATCCATTTTCGATTTCCAAACAGTCGATGAGACATTACTCTACATATTACTTGCATGACATGCCATCATGACGATTGAACCGTAGGTCCTCGCGGTGTGTCTGAGCGCCGTGCTGCGGGATACCGACCTCGCCGTGGTGTGCGAGGTCTTGAACGCGCTGTTTGACATCTACGCGGACGAGCAATACGACTCTGTGTTCCACGAGGTGAAATTCTTGACGTCGCTCGAGCATGTTGGCGCAGGGATGAAGTCCAAGGTATATTTATTGTAACAATGTTATAACATGATACACGGAATGGTGATATACAATCGTGGGTGTGTGTGCCGATAGATCAAGAGCGAAGCCAAGTCGCTGGACCGGGAATTGGTCGCCCATGCCAAGGAAACACGGCTCAACCTCCTTCGGTTCATCAAGTACAAGAAGCAGCATCTAAAATAGTTTTATAACGACGTAGAAGTATATGTTATAATTACTGTTATAATAACGACGAGTCGCCCAATGGGGTCTTTTGGCACCTATAGCCGAGGCGAATGAGGCGAATCGCGCCGCGATCCCCGCTGTAGTCGACGGGGCTGGACGTTGGCCAGTACGTGATTGCTGGGTCGAACGGCCCATTCATGTACCACCGAATGCCGGTCGTGGCAAAGACGTCATCGATGCATGACGGGAGCTGGATGGACGCTGACTGGGTGTTCTGCGACGCGTCGGTCGTGATCACAGTGACTTGGGACGTCACTGTCGTGTTGCAGAAGCACTCCACGAGGTAAGGATACACAGGGACTTTGACTGCCGCGCCGACTTCCGCTGCCGTCACGACGGTGCTACAAGCGTAGAGCACGATCAGCAGCAACGCCGCCATGCTTAGAAAAATCTTTGGATTGTATTTCTACCAATCAACGTGTTTTGCGACCCGTTGTTCACGAATCATATTGTAGTATGATTCAGATCGCGTTTTGATTGGCTCCCTCTATTGTCGAATGTATCTTGAACAGTTGCAATTTGTTTACCATGCGCGGTCTGCACGTCCTGGCGGCCCTGTGCCTCTTGACGTTCTCCACATCCAACATCTACTTTGAAGTCCCGTTCAGCCTCCACCAGTACACCATGACCGCCATCTTAGTCGACTCTTTCGTTCATTTGCGCGTCCACAGCGTTATCGACAGTACCGACCGCGTCTGCAATACCACTAACACATCGTTGAACTTTTGCTCGATAAACCTCGAGCCTTTCCATGTCGTGGCGCCATCCGACCGCCTTGTTGCCGTGGACATGCATGCCATATCAGTCAAATCATTTGAGGAAGTCGCCGATGCGGCGGCTGGGATGTCCTATGTCTTGCCCCTCTTCGACGATCCCAACTCGGAATCAAACGATCAAGCAGACGATGACGTACGTGTGCTGAGCGGCTTTGTCCGGCTAACGGTTGTGCATCCTTCCGTGGTCACGTTCGAGCCCTCCCAACGTCGTCGCAGCGCATCTGTCCATTCCACGCATGCAGACTCTCCCTATGACAACGTCGTCCTCGACGATCCCGACGACTCGCTTCGGTTCCATCTGCCGTTCTCGGACTTGGTCGCACGTGGTTGTCGTGTGGAAGCTGTGTACGTCCAAGGCGCCGAGGCAGTTCACCTTCGCGTCGCGTCCATCGACGGTGATTCCACCCATCCATCATCCGTTCTGGACATTGCCGAATCCGATCGCCTCGTCGCCGCCGACACGACGCCCATCACACTTCAACAGTTGGACAACTTATTAGACAGTGAACCAGGCACGTTGGCGTTGCTGCCATTGGTGGACACCAGCGAAGGGCAAGGCAATCAACTAACTGGGTTCATTCTGGTCGAACTTGTCCGCGCCACCACGTTGGTGTTTGAGCCCATGGAGTTGTCGCGAGTGACGGCGCTCGAGCAGGTGCTCGCCACGAATCCAAGCCATCCTCATGTTCACATGCGAGACGACGTATACTTGCATGCAAACGTTAATTCTCCTACCGCCATGCCCCCCCCCACATCTAAAACCTGCAGCTCCACGATGACTAATACGTCGGCTACCAGTAAGGACAAGAACAACATCATTCATAAGCCCAAAGTTGATGTGTATCAACTACCTCTTGTGGTCGACATTGCCCAAGATGATGACGACAAGAATCTCACCAGTGGAAGCCATGTGAATGGCGTGGCAGCACCACAAGGCGGAAACACCAGCAACAGTGCTACGAATATGTACCCCATTCGAATTGAAGACACTCCAAACGCAGCAGCTTCGGCTGAGACCACGTCGCCTTCGTCGACAGCGCCAGACCAACCGTCGCAACAGCAGCATTCTGTGGCGGACCAGCGCAAACTCGGCCTCGCGTTCGAGTTCGACGTGGCCTTTCCCACCAAAACCCGCCTCGGAATCAACTGGGACGCCGACATTGAGGATCGAACTGTCATCGACTCGATCGAGCCGCACTCCCCCGCCGCCGCCCTCGACTGCCTTGAGCCTCGAGACCACCTCGTGGCCATCAACGGCATCAATGTGTCCACTTTTGGTAGGTCCCCCTACTGCCGTTGTTGTTGCTTGATACATTGCGTAGCCCCCCCCGACGTCGTCCCGGTGTATATCAAGTCGGCATGGCCGAAAACCCTGCGGTTTAGTGTCGGAGCGTCCACGCCAGTGGCCCCCCCAGCCCCACCTCAAGTCAACCAGACCGTACCACCAGTTCAATCGGTCACCGAAACGCATCATCATGAGTACCCACTGACTGCGCATGCGGACGTTCCTCGCCTTCGCCGTGACGGTAACCCTTTCACCCCCCCCGCCCTCTTTGTAATACTATTGTTTGCTGTTAGGCGAGGCCTTTTGGTACGAAGTGACCCTCCCTGAGCTGCAAACTCCCGTGGGAATTTACTGGGACTTGCACAATGCCATGTCCAGCACAGTCGTTCACGCGATTGAACCCGGTTCGATCGCCCATCGATTGCAAGTGATCCACCAAGGCGACCAATTGCTGCTGGTCAACGACGCCAACGTGACTGCGCTGGGCCCATGGGACGCCCTCGCGCGCTACAAAGCCACTCATCCCCCCCGCACGTTGCTTTTGTATTGCCCTCCAGTTGATTCTTCGTCCACAACTTCGTCGACTACCCCTCTAGCAACGTCTACAGAAGCCCAAGCCCCAACAATTGTTGTGCCGGATTTAACTCCAGAGGACCCCAAGGTCGAAGCGCGGCGACTTCAGTGGCAGCTTGTACCCCTCTCGTCCGTCCGGTCGGCACGTCAACATGGCGACGTTGTTCAGTATGAGATTCAAGTCACATCGCCCGGCCCCATCGGCATCGTGTGGGATCGCCTCCTTCGTACCAAAACTGAAGTGAAATCCGTTGACGTTCACTGCCGGTTTCCCAACGTAGTGGCGGGGGACCACCTCGTGGGGATCAACGACAAGAACGTGTCCACCATGGGGCCGCAGCAGGTCGTTGTGTGGTACACCCAAGCTTCGTTTCCAAAGCGGCTGGTGTTTCGCACGTCTTCGTCCGCAGCCGCGACCCACAATGTCGAAGCGACTGCCGAGCCCCACGTCACGCACTTGGTCGTGCAAGCCCCGTCCGTGCTGAAGGACTGGGTGCTGCCGCTGGACATGGCCGACTGGAGCACGTCCATGACGACGACAAACGTCACCCTCGTACCCGCCACTCCCGCGTCCAGCTGTTTCAAGCTGAGTTTGCCCCAAATGGTGCTGGGGGACGTGGTGGTGGTCGTTGCCATCCGAGGCGGTTGTTCGTTCACAGATAAAGCGCACCATGTTCTGCACGCCCAAGGGGACGGACTGTTATTGGCCAACAACGTAGCGGGGCCAGGTAGTTTACATATCTTAGTTGGCTCGTGACTCTGAGATTTCACGTAGGCACGTTTCCATTGAACATGCCACATGTGGACCATGTAGCACTCCCTGTAGCTATGTAAAAAAATGAACTGTAGGCGTATATTGCTCACGGTTGAGGGGGTTGACTAGGATGTCGCGGGACGAAGGCGACGTGTTGTTGGCAGTGTTGGCGTACGAATTTGCAAGTACGTCGTCAAAATATATGCGAGATATGCGTGGGTTGCGAAATAGAGTGTTTGGGTATAGGTGCAATGTGGCAACGGCTGCCAAAGGCAAAGTCGACATTACTGGCACCGTCTCAACGCCATTCGGACCATTCGGCGCCTTTGTCCTTCCTTCTATGGCATGTCGAAGGTGACATCGCCCAGACCGTCTCCATGGCGTACGTGGCGGCCTCGTTCGGAACCCCCGTGCGCGAGTCCCAGCCGTTTCAAGTAGTGCTGTCCACCCCCGTGCAAACGGCGTGCCATCGCGACGACGTGACGGTGCGGGGAAAGGGGTCGGTGGTCGTCGTGAAGCATGGCACGTGTTCTTTTACGCAGAAAGCAAAGTACACCTCTACGAGATTGACAAGAGTCTGTTGGTGGATGATGGATGGGTAGGGTCGTGCAACAACTCGGAGCCCTCGGCATGGTGGTGATCAGTGCCGACGACACCCCCGTGGTTCTCGCGTCGGAAGAGAGCGACCTTTCGATATGGGCTGTGTCGTACGTGAAAGGCCCGCGGTTGGTTTTAATATGTATATTGATTGATGTTTGTGCTAGGATTGGTCGGATGGACGGTGACCGGATGCAGCAGATCCTGGCCATGTCCTTGACGGCTCATTCGCCGTTGCTGCTTCGGTTCATGCCGCCCCCTCGAGACGACGCCACAGAAGCGACATAAGCAGTGTAACGTTCGATTGTATGTGCCTTTTTCGACTGGGGCAATTATTCGGCTTTACTACTACTAGTAAGTCTTAGTACTAATAGTACTTGAATATATTACTATTAATAGTATATTTTCAATAGAAATTACTATTAATAGTATATTTTCAATAGAATACAGTATATTCCAATGTGAACTGCAAACTTCCCCGCCTTCTGGTAAACTAAAGTGCTGGCGAATTATTATTACAGCTCTCCGTGAAGATTTGGGCTTTGCAAACAACTACAAAATCGCAACAATACTGAGTATAAACTTTAACGCTACTTGGTATACGTATATTAGACCTCTAACCCAGAGACTGAATGACTGACTAGACACAAAGTAGTTTTTCATATTCTCATCATTCAAATAGAGTGCTGTCAAACTGACAAATACCCCATAGTTCGCCAAAAAAGTAACGTAAATGACCAATTAATTGTGCACGGACCAATTGTTTGTGCACTCAAACCAACCAATCCGCAAGCATGTATTCATCGCGGCAAAACCTCTCAAATACAATACCTCACTTGTCATTTGGCGCCAACATGGCACGTCCACGGTTCCGGTACAAACCTAAGGACTTGGACGATGCTGTTCGTCAAGTTCTTGGTGGTGCAAGTG